TAGTGTCTGGACCTGTTGGTTCTCCCTCCCCCATAAAATCTAGTGGAGACGTCCCACATGGGGAAACGTGGGTGGTGAAATGTAGAAACAAATACACCGGGAAGCTGAGGGCAGTTAGATGCCCCTTAGTCTAAGAAGGCTTCTTAGAGGAGGGAGTTTCGAGTAAGAATTTGAAAGAGAAAAGAAACATGGCTTGCTTAGCAAGAATATAAGGGAAAGGCTTTGAGGAGGAAAAGACAGCCGGTGAGGGTGAGTAGCAGACAGGAAGCAGACTGCCTGGGCTGTGTTTCTGCTACAATCCAGCCGTGCTAAAGGAATATGAATACGGCTGTTCCGATTGCGAAAGGAAGAGAGAGGCCTGCAGCAGAGGAGGCTGGCAGCAGCTTCTGCTGATCCTCCAGATGGGTGATAAGGGCACTGTCTCAGATGACGGTTTGGAGAGTGGAGAGGAAGAGGAGGACCCAGGAGGCAGGAATGAATCAGCAGGACTTGGGAGTGGGCGTGGAGTGAACCTGACATTGAGAAGGGTTTAAAAACTACATGCCTGGGAGTGGGGCAGGGGTTGTTTGAAGGATTTTGATGCTAGTGGCAGCAATGGGGGAGTTGAGAAGGGTGGTTACTTCAGAGGCAGGGCACAAACCCCGAGTACAGGGTGTGGCATGTTGAGTGTCTGGTGGCCTGGGTAGAAGTCCTATAGCCAGAAGCAGACTGTGGGGTGAGGAGAAAAGGAAAAACTTCAGTTCTGCCCTCTCCCATCACCACCCCCAATCTGGAGCAGAGCTCGAGTCTTCAGGAATACCCCTCCTATTAACTCCCCCTCTTGTCCCTTCCCCTCCCTACCCAACCCCAACTGATAGATGATAAGACTCAATTCAAGTTCCTTTTCTTGCCTTCTCTCAAACCCAGCCTGATTCTCACCGGGGTTCCTAGGCAATTAAGGAATCCTACCTCATACCCACCTGGGTGCCTCCTTTATCCCTAGCTTCCTAGGAGCCAGCAGTGTCAAGGCTCAATTTGAGAAAAATTGCATATCCCTGCCCCACCTGGCAGGGCCTGGAGGTCCTCCAGTAAAAACCCGTGCGCTGTTGAACTTCCTGTTTGGTTAGGTATTATTTTGATTTTCAGTAACTTTTACCAACTTTGAATAAATCAGCAAATCTTTACTGAGCGCCCATTAGATGCCAAGCACTGTTCTAGGTATGCAGTGCAAGCAAAGTCGGGTTGGATTTTTCAATTGAAAATCTGTGTTTGGGGTAAATGTTAAATGTTAAGCTTAAAATGTTACGCAAACGTGAAATGAACCTAGATTTGCTGGGGGAAAAAACTTGATAGACTAGCTACGGAAATAACTTTCAGCACATCTTTCGGGGAAAAGAAGCCACAGTCCTGCAGCTTTAGTCCTGGGCAAACGCTGAAGTGTCTTGAAGGTGTTAATTATGGAGAAACATGAAAACCTCTCAGCATTCTGTAATCAAAAGGGTCAGAGGTGGGAAGAAGGGCTTGGAGGAGATAATTTGCTGCTCTGTTCACAGCATGAGAAGGAGGGAGTAAAATGTGGGCCGTGTTTGATGGCAAGAAAGTGCTTGCGAAGGAGAAAAGGAGAATCATTTGGCCAAGACAGCCTCTTGGTCCGCTCCCCTCACCAGTAGCTTGAAATTCACCTGTCTGCTCCCCAGCATGATGTCTTGCTCCACACACCTGCACCCTCTGTGAGAGTGGTGACAGTCGGCACTTTTCGAAGAAACCTGTAATTGAGCAGTAGTCTGAGTAACTTGAGCAAACATCCTTGTGGTGGGGTCGAGACTGGTACTTCCTGGCTGCCACGTCTCCAGAGGTGAGCAGCTCGGCTGATAAACAGGAAGAAACTTTGTTACAAAGAGGCCACCTGGCCAGCAAGGGCATGTTCTGGGTGGCTGACCCTGGCTTTCACGAAAGCTGAAACTTTGCCTGGAACTTCCAATTTCAACATCTTTAAAGCACTTGTAGTCCTGGGTGAGATTTGGGGGAGGGCAAGTGCTGGGTAGGGGAGGAAGGTGTCTAAAAGTAGAGTGTGCCAGGGCGTGGGGCTCAGGAGAACAGCCCTGCCCCAGGCTCAGGAGTGCCAAACCCAGCCCCCAGACTCCCCAGGTGATTTCCAAGGGGGAGGCAAGAGCAGGGTCCCGGGAGTTGGGACACCGGCGGTGTCTGCTCCTAGAAGCCAGGAGCTGTGTGACGCTAGGGAAGTCACTAACCACTCTGGCCTTACCTGTAAAATGAGGATGCTGGTCTATCAAGTTTTTCCCCCCAGCAAATCTAGGTTCATTTCATGATTGCATAATATTTTAAGCTTAAACATTTAACCCAAACACAAGACATACCAGGTCAAAGTGGCACGCTGATGTGAAACAGCAGAATATCATGTAACTCAAATGCTTGTTGTAGTAAGTACATTCAAAACATCATGTAGTGGAGGGCGGCCCTGTGGCCTAGTGGTTAAGTTTGGCGTGCTCTGTTTTGGGTTCAGTTCCTGGGTGCGGACCCTACACCAACTCATCGGTGGTTATGCTGTGGTGGCGACCCACATACAAAATAGAGGAAGATTGGCACAGATATTAGCTCACAGCTAATCTTCCTCAGCAAAAAAAAAAAAAAGAAAGAAAGAAAGAAAGAAAAAAAAAACCATCATGTAGTGAAACCAGTGCTTACCCTTGTGGCTTTGAACAGGTCACTTTAACCCCTCTGGCCTCATCTCATTTATTTACAAGAGTTTATGGAATATCTATTATGTACAAAACTTGTGCTAGGCTTTGCAAGTGATAAAAAGGTGAAAACATTGGCTTTCAAATTTCTGTGACTGGACCAAAGTAAGAAAGACATTTTACGATAAGACTTAGTACCTACTTAACGTGTGACAGGTATCCCAAAAGTCTTAGGGCAGTTTTACACTTTAATCACATAAGAGGTATGAATTCTACAAACTAACAAAAAAACGTGACTTGAAAATGTAATAATTTAAATTTCTTTCTTTCTTTAGTTTTATGAATTTTTTTTTTGTGAGGAAGATCAGCCCTGAGCTAACATCTGCCAATCCTCCTCTATTTGCTGAGGAAGACTGGCCCTGGGCTAGCATCCATGCCCATCTTCCTCTACTTTATATGGGCCGCCGCCACAGCATGGCCTGACAAGCGGTGCATTGGTGCGCGCCCGGGATCCGAACCGGCGAACCCCGGGCCGCTGCAGCGGAGCTCGTGCACTTAACCGCTTGCGCCACTGGGCTGGCCCCAGTTTTATGCATTTTTAATAACAAATTTTTCATTTTAATTTTGTATCAGGAAATGTTTCTAATCTTCAATGGACTGAGACAAACATTAAAATAAGAATGTGTTATTCAAAATCATAAAACTAAATAAAGTAAGAGAAATTTAAATAAAGTTTTCAAATGACGTTCTTTGTAAGTCTGTAGCATTTATACTTCTGAAGTTATTAAAGCTTAACGTTGCACTAAGACTTTTGGTACACTCTATATATGTATATATAATAACTGAAATGAAATTTTAACAATACTTACCCATATTACATGTGAGCACTTTGGTATCTTTTTTGTTCTATTCTGATCTTTTTTTTTTTTTTCCCCAAAGCCCCAGTAGATAGCTGTATGTCATAGTTGCACATCCTTCTAGTTGCTGTATGTGGGACGTGGCCTCAGCATGGCTGGACAAGCGGTGCGTAGGTGCATGCCCAGGATCGAACCCGGGCTGCCAGCAGTGAAGCGCACGCACTTAACCGCTAAGCCACGGGGCCGGCCCTGTTCTATTCTGATCTTTTAAAGAATTTTTTTCATGCTGATTTGCAACACTTTAAATGTATTTCACAATCCTATGGGGGGGTCACAATCCTATGAATCAGCGGTTTGATAGACACTAGGCTGGGTGAGACCTCAGTTCCCTTATACCAGGGAGAGAAGGTAAGTTTGTGTTCTGGCTGGTGGGGCCAGGGAAGCAGGTCCCATTTGGTCAATCTAGGAAAGCTTCCCGGAAGAAGAGGATTTCTGGTGTCATCTCAGTCCTGAAACCAAGATGGGCTGATGTGTTACAATCCCAAAAGTAGCTGGAGGAAAAAGAGTTGGGAGTGAATGTTCAGGAGCAGCAGGAAGGGAATGAGTGGATGAGAGCTGTGGGCACACTTGCCGGTGGACCGGGAGGCCAGGCTGTGGGAGCCCAAAGGTGAGGGAGCCACTCTGGGGGGAGGATCTCGTGAAGCCCTGCACTTGGCAGAGTACTGCGTACCACAGGGGCTGTTCCTTCACCAAGGTTGGTGGAGGGGTAACCCCCGACCTTGCTAACCACACTTCTGGGCATCATCTCCTACGCAGAGAGCAGGAATCCTTAACCCTCAAGTCTCGCGGCTGCCATCGGATTACGTGTCTCTTCTAAGGAACTCTCCTGTTGCCCGCATGCTGAGCAAACAAACTGGAGACCGAATCCCTTACTGCCAGGGCTAATCACAGGTGTCTCGTTTCACTTCAGGATGTGGTTAGTACCTTGAGGAACTGCAGGCTCCAGAGAGAAAGTATTAGGCAGCCAGCTTGGACTGAGGGCAGATGCCTGGAAGGGCTCAATTTAACCCGAAGTCTCTTTCTCCAGCAGAAGCCCTGGTGTTCTGGTGGTTAAGATTCCGTGCTCTCACAGCCACCGCCCAGGGGTTCGTTTCCCAGTCAGGGAACCACACCCATCTGTCGGTTGTCATACTGTGGCAGCTGCATGTTGCTGTGATGCTGAAAGCTATGCCACTGGGATTTCGAATACCAGCAGGGTCACCCATGGTGGACAGGTTTCAGCAGAACTTCCAGACTAAGACAGACTAGGAAGAAGGACCAGGCCACCCACCTCCGAAAAAATTGGCCTTGAAAATCCTACAAATAGCATTGAGTGTTGTCTGATAGAGCGCCAGAAGATCAGAGGATGGCGCAAAATGACCAGGCAGGGTTCTGCTCTGCTGTCCACAGGGGCACTAGGAGTTGGAATTGACTTGATGGCACTAACAACAACTCTTTCTCTAGAGGAAGTAAAAGGAGCAAAGGCGAACCCCACTGCAAGGGACCACGAGGCAATGCCAGAACGAGGGAGTTGGAGTGACCTGGGTGATTCTGAGTGAGTCAGTCAGGGAGGCCTTCCTGGAGGAGGTGAGTCTTGCGCACTTGGCAGCAGCTAGTAACTAAGCTGTTATCACGCCTTTGTTTCTAACTCTGCTTCCTCTTTCTTGCTGGAGTGGGAAGGTAGACAGAAAGTATCAGGGAAGATGCAGCCTGCAGGTTGGTTCAACACTGTTGTGGCAAACACTTCCCCATTCTGCGGGCCCTCTGTTTGTGCTTAGCTGGGGCAGTTCCAGAACTGACAAGGTGTCTAGCTCAAGCAGAACCCCTTGTGCTGGCCCAGCAGAGCTCAACCCCCGGGGCAGGAAAGTGCCTCTCCACCGAGTCCCCATTTCCTCATTGAAGCCTTCTGCAAGCCCACAGGGAGCTCTGCCTTTCTCAACTTGGCACATACTGTCTGTGCTGTTATTACGTTTTAATTTTATTAATTTTTGAATAGGTAATGTAATCAGGGTTCAAAGTACAAAAACAAATTCAGAGAAAGCTCTTTTTCCTGCTCCTGTCCCCTCCCTGGACAGGTGCTCCCTCGACCCAGTGCTACCTGTTCTTCTCCAACTAGATTTTATAATCCCATGGGGAAAGGCATTGTCTCCTACCTTTCTGTGACCCTCTGTGTCCCAGCTGGGGAGAATTGTCCCACCCCATCACCCAAGGGAGTTTTCCTGGCACCACATCCTCCCTCCTCGTCAGCACTGCTGCTGTCTTGGGTCAGACCCCAAGCCCTCTTAACTGGCCATCCAGCTGCCAATCAGATCCATCTCCTAGACGCCCTCCACCGCTGTCATATTACTCTTCGTGTAAGGCTGGGCTCCCCACAAATCCTGTATTGCTCCCCATACCTCAGGTTAAGGGCAAACTCCTTGGCGTGATGACTTGGTTTCAGCCACCTCCCCAGGCCCATCTTCTGCTACTCCCATCAGCCTTCATGCTCCCACCATACCGAACTACTTGTGGTTCTCTGATTGGCCATGCTGTCTCCCACCTCTAGGCCTTTGTCTGTGCTGTTCCCTCTGCCTGAAATGTGCTCACCTCGCCTGGCCAGCTCCTACTTGTGGGTTAGTGCTTAGCCCGAGCTTCTCCCCCTGCGGGACCTCTTCTCAAACATTACCGCCGCCCCCTTACATCCTCTCTCCCTCAGCACCTGAAGGTGCCTCTCTCGTGCTGACTTCTCACCGGGTGATCTCCGTTTAAAATCTGACTCCCCCAACTGACTGTATGCTCCTTGAAGGCTGGGCTTGCTCATGTCTGTACCTCCCGACCTGGCAGAGTAGCTGGCATAGAGCAGCTATCCAATCAATACTGGCAGAGTGGCCATCTCCCATCTCCCAGACAACACCTAGTACGAAATAGACGCTCAAAGAGATTTCATTTCATTTCATTTTTCATGCTGCTGCTGCTGAATCTGATGTTACACAAGAAAACCACCTGTCTCCCCCCCGCCCAGAGTGAACCCTGCTCCCCCTTGAGATCATGATGCCCACATAGTCCCCAGATCCAAGTGACCCCGGACACCAGGCTTCCCCATGGGCAGCAGTTTGCATGTTTAAATAACAGCATTAAATAGCTCACCTGGAATTACTTTTAAGCAAGACACGTCATTGGGGAATGAGTGTGGCTTTGGCCGAGGACCAGGTGCTTGAGAATAATTGCTGGGAGTCTGAGCAAGGATTTATTCATCATAATAATAGAAATAATTGATACCGTTCATTGAGGGCTTCGTATGTGCCAGGCACTCCGCTTTAATCCTCACCACAGCCCTGTGAGTTAGGTATTAGTTACCCGCACTTTATAGATGAGGAAATTGAGGCTTAGAGAGATTAAGAAATTTGTCCAAGGGTCACACAGCTGCTAATGATAAAAACTAACACTTTTTGAGAACTTACTGTGTGCAGAGACTGCTAAGCTTTTTCCATGAATTATTTCATTGAACTTAATTCTTCTATCAACCCTAGGGCGTAGATGCTATTATTACTAGAAGGAGCAGCACCAGGATTTGTGCCCAGGTCTATTGCCACCAATTTCTAGCACTTAACCGGTAAGTCTTATGCTTCCAGAGCTCTCCACAGAAAGTTTTGCAAACATTCATCCTCTGAGCTGTGGGACCACGTGCCTGGGGGCGAAGCAGTCCCAATCCTGCTCAGAAGGAGTTATCATAGAATCTTAGATTTAAAAGAATTTTTTTTTATTAAATATGGGTAGATACAGAAGAAAATTTATAAAATATGTGAGTGGGTATAAAGAATAAGAGTGCCACCAGCAGCCGCCATCCACTTTAAGAGAAAAACACTTTAGTTTGAATTCCCTGTGTGTCTCGATTCCCCCAGAAACTTTGGTTTCATCGTTCCTTTAGTTTTCTTTATGGCTTTACCACATATTCATTTTTGTATTCATAAACAATATATTCTTTAGTTTTACGTTTTTAAATTTTCTATAAATGGAATCATAATGTATGTGTCTTTCTGCAACTTGCTTTTTTTGCTCAACATTACATCCGTGGTGTTGCCTGTAGAAGTGGTTCATTCTTGGTCACTGCTGTAGAGTCCTCCTGGGTTGGCTATTTCGCACTGTTTATTCACACTACTGCTGGATGGACATTTGGATTCTTTCTAATTTTTGCCGTTTTAGTCAGTGCTGCTAGAAACATGCTGGTACCTGCCTCCTGGCTCATGTGCGCTGGAGTTTATCTGGGATATAAAACTAGGACTGGATTTGTGGGGTCATAGAGTATGTATGTTTTAAATTTTACTTGATAAGGCCAAATAGTTTTCCAAAGTGGTTATGTCAATTAAATCTCTTCCTGTAGAGTTTCAGTCTCCTGGTTATTCTAGATCCATGAATGTCAGAATCTTAGGTCAGGAAGGAAACACTGAGACCAGGCTCTTCATTTTATGGATGGAGGAAACTTAGGCACAGGAAAGTTAAGTGACTGGGTTAAGGGGATGTCATCATTCAGCCACAGAGTCTGGACTCGAACCCCCAGCCCCCTGACTCCCTCCCCACCCCTGCCTTGGCTCATTTCTGTCTCTCACCCCCTCCCTTCTCAGGCTGAGGCTCCAAGGTGTGGCCACCACGACGTATTGAGTTATTTCCAGGGTCGAGCCCACACGCAGAGCTGACCCAGCCGGGGTCCCCGTTGGTTCCAGAGGATGAGGCTCCTCCGCAGACGCCACATGCCCCTGCGCCTGGCCATGGTGGGCAGTGCCTTTGTGTTCTTCCTCTTCATCCTGCAGAGGGACGTAAGCAGCAGGGAACAGGCCACAGAGACACCATGGCTGAAGTCCTTGGTCAGTCAGAAGGATCACGTCCTGGACCTCATGCTGGGGGCTGTGAACAACCTTAGGGATTCGATGCCCAAGCTCCAGATCAGGGCTCCGGAGCCCCAGGAGACCCAGGTCTCCACAAACCGGTCCTGCCTCCCCGGGTTCTATGCTCCAGCTGAGCTGAAGCCCTTCTGGGAACGGCCACCACAGGACCCCAACAGCCCCGGGGCAGACGGAAAAGCATTTCAGAAGAGCGAGTGGACCCCCCTGGAGACTCAGGAAAAGGAAGAGGGCTATAAGAAGCACTGCTTCAATGCCTTTGCCAGTGACCGGATCTCACTGCAGAGGGCCCTGGGGCCAGACACTCGACCCCCTGAGTAAGTAGCACCCAGAGTCCTGTGGTGAGGCCAGGGCTCTTGCCAATGGTGTGGCTGGTATGGCCATGGGCCAAGTGCCAGGTAAAGAGCTGAGGGGATTTTAGAACATGGGCAAGGATTTCCTGTAAGCCTTCACTTCTTCTCCTGACCAGCTACCCTTATCCCAGGAGTGGGGTTCAGGAGTATTACGGTCAGGCCAGAGGCCCAGGGAGACCTGTAGGGGCGAAACGCAATTATGAAAGTGACAGGATACAAAAGGAGGAGCTCAGGGCCTAGGGCCAGGACCTGGCACAGGAGCAACCGGGAGGGACTGATGCCAGGCCACAGTTTCGGCGGCCGTGCCCTCTGCTGAGGCCTGCCCCACAGACCGTGGGACACTGCTGCTGAGCTGTTGGGAAAGGGACGTGTCCTGAGGCCAACTCTGGTGGTCAGGACTACCACCTCCTCCTGGTTCCCTTCAGTGAGGAATTCATTCCAACCTCAATTTGAAGCTGTTTATCCTCTCAATCCCAGGCAGCAAACCAGCACTCAGGTCTCTGAGCTGTGGCCACTCAACTCTAACTCAGTCGTGCTGTGTTCACATTGTCCCCAAGTTAAAGATTGTGTGTCTTCCTCATTTGGACTTTATCTTTTCCAACTCAATAGTTATACCCTTTTTGGCCTTTTCTCACATGGCAGTCCTTAGCCCCAAATTCATGATTCTCTAGGGCTGTGAACCTGGGGTTCCTCAGACTTGGACCAAGTATAAGTGTCCTGGAATGTGGAGCCACTTGGAGTTGTCGGGAGCTCCTCAGCAGGGAAGGGTGTCGGGCGTGAGGAGGGCCAGTGGGGGAAGTTCCGGAGCCTCCTCTGGGTCCATGAGAAATGTCTGACCAGCAGAGGGGGTTAGCAAAGGAGGTTAGGCTGCATGCTCCCTTGAGATCCAGTATTCACACGTTCCACCCCCACCGGAGACAGCCTCAAGAGGGTGGCAGTGTGGCCAAGTGCACAGAGCAGTTGGAGTGGATGAGGAGAGAGAAAAGTCACAGGAGATTGTTTGTGATGATAGTATCAGATGACAGGGAATTAATGAGGAAATGGGGTAGAGAGGAACTGTAAACTGTAAAGAGAAGAGCCTTTCCTCTCAGTGAGTATGGAAATTGTAGTCACTTTCCTCAGATGTCAAATCTGCCCTTTATTACCCACCCCTCGGGGACCTCTGGATCCGATTACACTTTATGCAGTATACGTATTACTGAGGAGGAGAGAGTCAGCCCTGGGAACTCCTAGAGCAGTTGAGAGAAGTGAGAGGTCAGCAGGGAGGAGCCCTCAGCAGCACAATGGGGGCACGGAGCCAGCTCTGGGGGAGGTGGCCTTTTTAGTGGGTTGGCTAGGACCTGTGCAGAGGCTCAGAGAAGGTGGCAAATACAGCATAAGCTGGGCACAGGGAGCAGCTATTCTCAACCGCAACAGAGAATGTAGGCTGGTGGTTCCAAGGAGCAGAGGATGGTTATGGGAATCTGTGGACAGAGTCCTCCCCACCCCCCGGACTCCCAGGGACCTGGATAGCTGTATCCATACTTTCATCCTTCCAGATGTGTCGACCAGAAGTTCCGGCGCTGCCCCCCACTGCCCACCACCAGCGTCATCATTGTGTTCCACAACGAGGCCTGGTCCACGCTGCTGCGGACAGTGTACAGTGTCCTACACACCACTCCTGCCATCCTGCTGAGGGAGATCATTCTGGTGGATGATGCCAGCACTGAGGGTGAGGCTGGCGGGGGCCCTGAGGAGGGGGCTGGCGTGCCCCCTGGTACTCTGGGAAGGAGGACAGATTCTCTCGAGGGAGTAGGCGCCCTCCCCGCCTGTTGCCTGGCATCACAGCTCATCATAAAGGCCGGGAGCAGGGACAAGGCAGGTGAGGGACGGGAAAGTAGGGGGCAAGTGGGTCACATTCCTAGAGCCTGGACTTCATTCCCATTTCACCCAAAGAGCTCCAAAAGCTTTGCACTTCTGGCTTCTAAGACTTCATTAGAGCTGCCAAGCCCAACCCCAAGTCAGAAATGCTTGGAGAGGTCAGGGCAGAGGGTAGGAATGAGCCTTCCCTCTGTGTCCCACCTGCTAGATCACACTTCTGCTCTTGAAGATTCCATCTGCCTCAGAAGCCCTTTTTGCTCTCTTTGTTAATAGTCAAGCGAGGTTGCTCCCCAGACTTCTACCCTTCAAAGCAATTCCACAAACATCTACTGAGTACTCGGTGCCTGGCACTGACTCAGGCATAAGAGATACCGTGACAAATGACAAATGAGACAGATCTTGCCCCGAAAAGGCTAACAACCCTCCTAGGTCAGATGGCCGCTTACACCACCAGCCACAGCGGTGTGGCCCATAACACACCACGGACTTGAGAGTCCGACACCCAGGAATTCAGATCCCAGCTCTAACTCTTCCTAGCTCTGTGACCTTGAGCAAGACACGTAGACTCTCTGAACCTCAGCTTCCTCTTCTAAAAATGAAGACAATTGACTCCCTCACGTGGTGGGCGAGGGATCTGAGACAGGTGATAAATGCAATAATTCACGTGCTGTAGAGTACTTAGCATCGAGTAAGAGCTCCGTAAGCATTAGTTTCATTGTATTCTTTGTAGGGGAACAATGCGCTATGGCAGTACGTACCCAGGAGGTGTTATTTCTGCATGGCATGGTGGGGGCAGTCCACAGTGGAGGTCAGATTGGAGCTGGGCCTTAAAGCATGAGAGTTTAGGGAAAGCAGAGGCATTGGAGGGCATTCTTGGAAGAGAGAGTGGCATAAACACAGTCCTAGAGATATAGGTGTGTTTGTGAAAAATTGAGAGGTTGATGTGGCTGAAGCTTCAGTTTGTGGTAGGAAAGATGTTGAATTGGGGGCTGGCCCGATGGCATAGTGGTTAAGTTTGCACCCTCTGCTTCAATGGCCTGGGGTTCACAGGTTCAGATCCCGGGTATGGACCTACACATCGCTCATCAAGCTACGCTGTGGCAGCGTCCCACATACAAAATAGAGGAAGATGGGCACAGATGTTAGCTCAAGGCTAATCTTCCTCACCAAACAAAGAAAAAATGTTGAACTGAAATTCATTCCATGCTCAAAGTATTTATTTGGGGAAAAAATGAGGCATCATTAGAGGTACTTAAGCTGGAGAGTGACCATGTCTCAAAAGGATGGCAATTGTGGGGGAGGCTAATTGTCAGGAACAATTGAAGCAGAAGACCCCATTCCAGAGAGGAAGTTCTTATAATCACTTGAGAGTAGGATGATGGGGCCAGAACTAGGAAAGGGACTGTGGGATGGATGCATTGTTAGACCAGGAGTCTCCAAGAGCTGAGCCCTCCTCCCAGGGGGCACGTGGTATCTGGGCTCTCCCAGGTTGGCCTCCTGTGCCCATGCTCCCATATCGAGGGGAGGAACTGTGGGGCCACTGAGTAGAGCTGCTGCCTCTCCTGACCTTCCCCCAGCCTCCCTGCTCCCTCTGGGTGAGGGGTGATGCTACAAAGAGGACTAGGGCTGGGGAAGGCCGTGGAAGGAGGAGCTGAGTCGGAGCACTGTTGAGTCCTTTTCTTCAGGGAGCTCACCTTTCCTCAGGGAGGACAGACAGACACCTGGCAGCACTTCCAAAGCAAAGGCAGACAAGTGTCAGGATGCAGTGAAAGGGTCTGGGGGACAAGGAGCACAGAGATTAGACTTCTGGAAGGGGAGGGGCAGAGAATGTGGCAGAGATGGGAGGGGCTAGGAGTGGCCTCCAGGGAATCTCATTAGCAATGAAATGGTTGTATGGAATGGGAGCAAGTGCGTTTGCTGCCCTTCCTCTCAAACTTGTCTGCCCCTGGCCCTATGCTGCCCAACCCTCAGAAGCTTCTTCCCTTGACTCGCATATGGTGGAAGTTCTAAACTGTTTCAACTTGTCACCCAGAATTTTGTGAGTCCATAAGGTATAAGTGCCTAGTTGGGCAACTCCTCTGAGCAGGCTAGACAAGTGACAATTGCCAGACTGGCACAGGCGGCATCTAAAGGGCACAGCAGCCTCTTCCTAGTAGGGTGATCCTTGTCGGAGCTCCCGTAGCCCCTCAGAAGGGCCGGCCCTAGCAGGCCACAGACATGTGTTCCCCTTCTCTTTAGTTGTCTCTCCCTTGTTGCTCTGGGCTCTCCTAGGGCCAATTCCAGCATCTCGGAATCACCTGCGTGAAAAACCTGAACCAGTCATTCTTATTTTTCTGGGTCTTGGCCTCCTTTGAGAATCTGTTAAAAGCTATGCCCCTCACCCTAGAATCGTGCACAACTGCCACACCAGGGTGCACACACCCGCATTTTTGCATGTAATTCCAGGGAATTTGTGGACCCTAGGATAAACAACCTCACCTTGAGGGCTTTCGGACTCTCGAGATACTTTCAGCAATGTCCAGTTCAGTGCAGAAAGGGAAAAACTCAGGTCCATGGTCAGAAATCCCTGCTGTCCACAGCAGGATAAAATTTCCCACACATTTGACGGTTTGATCAGATTAACTGGCTCTTGTTACACACACACAAACGAGGGCTGTGTCTTTGCTGAAATACCGTGCCCCTGCTCTCCGTGCTCCTAATCTGGGCACCTGGCAGCACTCTCTGACCACGAAGTATATGGGGATTTGATACTGGGGTTGGGGGAAGAGACCCAGTGCCAGGCTGGGGAACTTTTTCTTTCCCACCTCGGAGTCCGAACCCCAGACACAGATTTCACTCCTGCATGGCCAGGTCAGCAGGCAGGTCCACTCCTGGTCTGGCAGGCTCCACAAACTTCTGAAAACTGGGCCCCCGGGCCCATCAGCCTACTGTGCCCCAAACAAGGCATCCCTGTGTCGAAAGCCCTGCCCTGTCCCTGGGGGAGGCTGAGGAGGAGAGAATCTAGGCCTTGCTCCTGTGGGAATTTGCTAGGTGGGTGGGAAGAAGTCAGACACGTACCAGGACCCCAAGAGTCAAGAAGTGAACAGGACCCTCAGTGAGCAAGTTGCTCATGGAGAGAGAGGGAGCAGGGAGGTGGGGTTGGCCAGGGAGCAGGTTCTGTAGGAGGAAGATAGAGGGATCAGGCAAAGGAAAGGAGATAAGGGGCAGCCCTGAACTCAGAAAGCCCAGGGAGGAGACATTGGGGAACACTCTGGGTTAGCCCATGATTTCTCCCACTTCCGTCTCCCCTTGTGGGTCAGAACTGAAGTGAGTGGCAGTTCCTCTCGTGGCCTCCTGAGCTCCTAAGAGGTACCAGTAACGCAAGTAAGGAATTGTCCAAAGCCTCTGATTTTAGTTGAATTACAACTTCCAGTATCTATTCCATTGGGAAAAGTTGCTTTATCACCTCTCTTAACTCTGTACTTGTTTTACAATATAGTAAAAGGTCTCTATAGTAACTCTATGTCCTGGATTTTCTGGGAAAGTTTCCATTTCAATATTTTCTTCCACATAAAAAATTTTACTCTTCTCATATGTCAGTTTCACCTGCCAGTCCACTCCTTACACCTAGAAATGGAAAGTGGCCGACAATGGGTCTTGATTTAGGTTTGAAAGTAACGGCCCAGTGTCCAAATGTCTTATCTGGGCAGATAGATTGTAGAATACTCCCAAAGGCGTTACACTTTTTTATTTCTCCTTTTATCCTTCCAAAGGGATTAACCAAGAAAAATTTCCCCATTGCAGTTAGAGCCAAGGCTGGATAGAATATAGATGGGCATGAAAGTAGAATAAAAACAAACAAAGCAGGAAAAATTAGAGAGGAATCCCTCCCTACAAGAAAGACTTTCTGCTTTTCTTTTCTAGATTTTTCAGAAGCCAAGGAAGTGGGAGACAGTCCGTAAGAAAAGAGTAACTAAAGGCAGGAGTTCACTAATTTGTTTAATAAGTATTTGTTAGTTACCGACTCATAACTGGTAGTTACCTACCCAGGCCCTGGGGGTACAACAGTGAACTGGCTGGGCAACGTCTCTGTCTTCTTGGAGCTTACTTTTTTAATGGGAAAGACAGAAAATACTAAATAATTTCAGATAATAATGTGTTATGAAGAAATTAGAGGAAAAAAAGAATGCAGGTGCTGGGCTGGTGAGTAATTAGGCAGCTCTTTTAGTCAGAGTGGCCAGGAAAGGCTCCTCGGAGTGTTCCCCGCAAAGAGAACAGCAAGTGCAAAGGCCCTGAGGCTTAGCACGTTAATGGGGCAGAAATAAGGCCAGCGTGGCTGAAGACAAGTGAGCTAGGAAGCAGAAAGAGCACTGGTACAAAGTGAGTTTAGAAAAGGTGAACAGGGGGCCGGCCCCGTGGCGCAAGTGGTTAAGTGTGCGTGCTCTGCTGCAGCAGCCCGGGGTTCGCCGGTTCGGATCCCGGGCGCACACCGACGCACTGCTTGGCAAGCCATGCTGTGGCGGCATCCCATATAAAGTGGAGGAAGATGGGCATGGATGTTAGCCCAGGGCCAGTCTTCCTCAGCAAAAAGAGGAGGGTTGGCAGATGTTAGCTCAGGGCCAACCTTCCTCACAAAAAAAAAAAAAAAAAAAGAAAAAGAAAAGGTGAACGTGGGCTGGCCCCGTGGCATAGCAGTTAAGTGCACGCACTCCACTGCTGGCGGTCCAGGTTCGAATCCCAAGCACGCACCCATGCACCGCTTGTCAGGCCATGCTGTGGCGGCGTCCCACATAAAGTGGAGGAAGATGGGCACAGATGTTAGCGCAGGGCCAGTCTTCTTCAGCAAAAAGAGGAGGATTGGCACGGATGTTAGCTCAGGGCCGATCTTCCTCACAAAAAAAAAAAAAAAGAAAAAAGGTGAACAGAACTGAATCACAAGACCTTTGTAAGCCATGGTCAGTGTTTGGATTTTTCATGTGTGTGTAGTAAAATATACATAACACGAAATTTACCATCATAACCATTTTTAAGTGTGCCATTCAACAGCATTAAATACATTCACATTGTTGTGAAACCGTCATCACCATCCATCTCCAGAACTCTTTCATCTTCCCAGACTGAAACTCTGTCCCCATTAAACACTAACTCCCTGTTCCTCCCTCCCCCAGGCCCTGGCAACCACCTTTCTCTTTTCTGTCTCTATGAATCTGACTACTCTAGGGACCTCATATAAGTGGAATCATACAGTATTTGTCCTTTTGTGCCTGGCTTATTTCACTTAGCATAATGACTTCAAGGTTCATCCATGATGTAGCATGTGTCAGAATTTCCTTCCTTTTTAAGGCTGAATATTTCATTGTTTGTATATACCACTTTTGTTTATCCGTTCATCTGCCCGTGGACGTTTGGATTGTTTCCACATTTTTGGCTATTGTGAATGACGCTGCTGTCGACATTGGTATACGCTTTCAATTCTTTTGGATACACACCCAGAAGTGGGATTGCTGGATTACGTGGTAATTCTATGTTTAAATTTTTGAGGAGCCACCATACTGTCTGGATTTGTTTTCAAGTGCAATTTTAAACCACCGTCGTGACATGATCTGATTTATAGTTTTAAGAGCTGACTCTGCCACTCACTGTGGCTGCTCTGTCAAGAATAGATTGGGGGCCGGCCCCGTGGCTGAGTGGTTAAGTGCGCGCGCTCCACTGCTGGCGGCCCGGGTTCGGATCCCGGGCGCGCACCGACGCACCGGTTCTCCGGCCATGCTGAGGCCGTGTCCCACATACAGCAACTAGAAGGATGTGCAACTGTGACGTACAACTATCTACTGGGGCTTTGGGGGAAAATTAAATAAATAAATAAAATTAAAAAAAAAAAGAATAAATTGGGAAGAGTGCTGTAGAGGCCGGGAGACCAGCAAAGACATTATTGCTGGCGTGACCATGGGGACGGAGAGCGAACTGGCAGTACTTGGTGATGGGCTGAGTGTGGAGGGTGAGAAAAGGGAGAACGCAGCGCGAGGCTGAGGTTAGAGCGGTGGGAGGCATGCTGGTACTGAGGACTGACACGGGGGAGCCTGGGGGCAGGTTGGGAGGAAATCCGGAGTCCAGCTTCAGGCACGTCAGGTTTGCGGTTCTGTGAGACATCCTGGTGAAGATGGCAAGGCCAGGAGAAAGGGCCTAGGAGCCATCTGCGTATAGATGGTGTTTCAAAGCATGGGACTGAGTAAGGCGTGTGTGTTGGAGGTCACAGGAGCCTCGTAGACACCAGTCGTGAGGAAAGAAGCTGGGTCGAGGTGGTGGGGTGTTGAACGTAAATTAGGAGGCTGCTGTCTGGGGGACGTAAGAGAATATGAATGGGCTCTTCAGTGTCTCCACGCTCAGCCCTGCTCTACTCAGCTCTGGGGCACATGTCCAGTGGGTCCAGGGGTGTGACGGGAAGACCATCAGGAGGGGCATTACTTATGGGAGTTGTCTCACTCCCCTTGAAGAGCCTGAGGCCCGTGCTCGGAATGCCCAGGTCCAGGCTAGGCACCTGCGACTGGCCGGAAGGCATGTGGAGAAGGGCTCTGTGGAGCTCAGGCCCCCTGAGGCTCACAGCTCAGTGCTTACCACAGAACCCACTTCCTATGATGTTTGTCCCTGGGTTATCTCCGCCACCATGAACTTCCTGTGAGCACAGTTAAGCGAGTTCTCAGGGGAAACATCAGCCATGCTGAAAGTGAGGCTCCTGGTTGGGTTCCTCCCTCCGTCCTGTTAGAGCCAGCACTTGGGGCTGCTGTGGGATCACTAGTCAGGAGCTCCTTGGGGGCAGGACTCAGACCAGGCCCCTCCCTGCCCAGGATCGTGTCTGGGCCCTGGGCAGTGTGTTAGCAGGTGTTTGCTGAGTGAGTGGAGGCCTAAAGCTGCCAAATGAGGATAATTTTGACTCAAACGTTGGGGACGACTCCCTATTTCATAGCGTTTTTAACCTTCATGGAGAAGATTAAATAAGAAAGTCAATGTGAACGCACCTAGTTCAATGACTGGCACACAGTAGGTGCTCAGGTATTTGGGCAAAGTGTGTGTGTGTGTGTGAAAGAGATCAATCGCACCCCCACAAAATTGATTTCAGGCCCCAGTTTGTAGAACACTGCGTTCAGAGCAAGGCCTGAGCGCTGGGCTGATCCCAGAGCCCAAGAGAAAGGACACACTCATCCGTCACACCTGCCCGCCACCTTCACTTCTGAAACTACAGGCAGTTCCATTCTGCACAGTCTGGAACAGAACAGTGGCACAGATAAACCAAAATAGCAGTTAATAAAAGATAGGTGAGATGTGGGATATGTTTCAAGATGGAGTGCTTCAGAAGAGAGCTATTTTTGATGCTCTGAGGACTTCAGACTGAATAACCAGGCCATGTAGTAAGCCCTCACTCAGAAGGAGCTGGAGATCTCAGCAGAGACACCCATCCCTTCAAAGCGCTTTCCCCACGCACCCATCCCGGAATTCAGGATGGTTGCCCCTCCTGCGGGCTCCCCCAGCCCTGCACTACCTCTGTCAGGTCCCTGATCGCCTGCCCTGCAATCGCCCGTTCCCTGAGCGGCTGGCTCACCGTTGTGCCTGGCCCACGGTTGTGCCTGGCCCAGGGCAGGCTCATGGTACATGTTTTTTAAATTTAATTAAAAAACTGCTCAGCATCTTTTCATCTTTTTAAAGAATTCCACGTGCAGAGGAGGTAATAAAGAGGATTAGAGTAAGATTTCTTGCTGCTGACCTGGCAAGCTAGAAATCAACGTTTGTGTATGCTCTGCCTGTCCAACTTATTCTGAAGAGCTGGGAGGCAGGGCATCAGACACGGAGAAATGATGGCCACAACCATCAGGTGTGGAAAAGAAGGGAGGCTGGCATCACAGCTCTGAAAGATGGTGGCTGAGAGGGGGCAGAGACCAAGAGAGGCATCTGAGAGCCTTCATCAGAAGTTTATACTTGATTTGAGACCAAAGAAACACAACTCTGAGGTCCTGTGTCAGACATTAGAGCAGGTGCCTAAGTAAACAGGCACAGAATGGGCACCGCAGAGCCAGTGTACTGGCAAGGTGGTCCTCGGGTGCAGGGCATGCCTGGCCACACGGGGGACTTCCTCCTTCCACCCCCTTCCCCACCCTTGGCCTCTCTGGAACTGCTGAGTGCAGTAGGTATGGGAGGGTTAAAATTCAGGCCTGCTGGAGGCCTGAGAGTGCCAGGGTTTGGTGCCCACAGGAGATTAGGTTTGCAACAAAGTGGCCAGCTGGCAACAATGACACTGTCCCTTCCAGAATACTTAAAGGAGCAACTGGAGCAGTACGTGAAGCAGCTGCAGGTGGTGAGGGTGGTGCGGCAGGAGGAGCGGAAGGGGCTGATCACCGCCCGACTGCTGGGAGCCAGCGTGGCCCAGGCAGAGGTGCTCACCTTCCTGGACGCCCACTGTGAGTACGGGAGTGCCTGCCTGGCACCAGGAGGCCTGCATGTGGGCTGGTCCCGCCCTTCCTAGCAGAATGGAGAGCTGGGACCGCGGCATCACTTCCTGTTCTGCTGTCCCAGGAGTGAAGGAGGCTTGGGACTTGCTCCAGCCTCTTCTCCCCTTTCTCACCCCAGTCCCAAGGAAGTCTTATCAGGAGGCACACACAACCCTAAAACAATTGGTGACCCCACAATTGCTGGGAGTGTGCTCTGGACCCCAGACACTCCTCTTGCCCTTCCTCCCCCAATCTGGACCTCATTCTGAGCTCGGCCACTCAGAGAGGCCTGCTATTACCACTGGGAACTGGTTTGTATGGAGCTTTCCTATAGGGCCACGTGGAACCAGGAAGGCCTCCCTCTTGCCCCAAACCGAAACCCCTCCCCACTGTTGTCAGAAAAAAAAAAATCATTCCCTAAAATAAGTAGTAGATATTGGGAAAAGCTCTAGACTTGGAGTCAGAAGACTGGGGTTTTCGTTCTGGCTCTGCCACTAACCGATCCTCAGTTTTCTCATTTGTAAAGTGAGAATGAAGATACCAACCTTACTCACCAGCAGAATTATTACTGTGAGGGCCATATATAGTAATATATGCAGTTCATTGAAAATCTCAAAGGGCTAGACAAATGAAAGGGACTATTATTCTACAACTGGAGCTGAAGCTTGAGATGCAGAAACCCCTGGCAGAGGGGCACCCCCTTCTGAAATCCACACTTGGTGCGGAGGGCTGTTTTAGTGCATAGGCTGGAGACGCCCATCCAGGGTCTTCCCTGTGCTTTTGGATCATTGGAGTTGACCGTGTTACTCCCCTGAGACCTCCATTCTCCCCTCGAAGGCTGCCTCCATATATGGTGGTGCTGATGGGGGGAGGTAGGAGGGCCTCAGGAGATCCCGCTATGCTCTCTACAGCTATGGAACTCACCTGTGTTTCTCTGCCTGTAACTAGGGAGTGGGGGAGGGTTCTCTTGTCCTCCTGGGTCTCCCCCCTGGCGTGGGGCCTGGGCTTAGCTGTGTGCCGGACCCTGACTGCTGTCTCCCGATCTGGGCCTGCAGGTGAATGCTTCCATGGCTGGCTGGAGCCCCTTCTGGCTCGCATCGCTGAGGAAAAGACAGCGGTGGTGAGCCCGGACATCGTCACCATTGACCTTAACACTTTTGAGTTCTCCAAGCCCGTCCAGAGGGGCAGAGTCCATAGCCGTGGCAACTTTGACTGGAGCCTGACCTTCGGCTGGGAAACTCTACCTGCACATGAGAAGCAGAGGCGCAAGGATGAGACCTACCCCATCAAGTAAGGACCAGAGCCTGGTGAGCCCCCAGCCTGGCCTCCATGGCCCCAGCCCCACGCAGTTCCAGGGACCTGGGCCATCTCAGGTCAACATTTCTTAGGCACTCTATGAAGCACTTGACATCTTATTTAATCCTCATCCCCTGTGAGGTAGGTACTGTGATTAGCCTGTTTTACAGGTGAGAACACTGAGGCTCCTAGTGATGACAACTGGCCTTAGATTATTCAGCTAGCAAATGGTGGCACAAGGATACCCATCCCGGCTGGTCAGACCCAAGGCCCATGCTCCTAACCGTGGCACGATACCGCCGCATGCCATAACAGCTTGCTCTTCTCCACCACTAACTGTGTGCCAGGCACTGGACTAAGGGCTTTCTATACTTTATCCCATTTTTTCCTCCCTACACGGAGAAAGATGTGACTGGCGCTTGCAGAGGCGCTGAGAGATAGTGGGTAGAGGCCATTGTTGAAAAGCCATTGTAATAAGAAGGGGTGGCATGTGCTCCCAGATCACTAGCTTTGAAAGGGCTGAGAACATGTTAAAAGAAAATAGAGAAGAGTTCTTCAGTTTGTAGTTTGTTGCAGTTGCCCTGAACTGTTTTTCAGTGAAAGGCCAGATAGCCAATATTTTAGGTTTTGCCAGCTACATACAGTCTGTTGCATATCATTCCTTGTTTTTTTTTTCAAAACAACCCTTTAAAAATGTAAAAACCACTCTTTGCCCACAGCCTTACGTGGCCAGGCCAGGTTTGGCCCACAGGCCATAGTTCAAACCTGGGCTATACGGGGAATACTTGAAAGCTTATCTGTTGTTTAATGCCCCATGGGGTTTGCCTTCCCCTCGTGCGCCCACCCCATCCTTCCCTCTCCAGATTGCCTCTTGGCGTTGTTGGAGACCACAAGTTTAACAGATGTCTCAGCCAAACTGAGTGTTGGGGAGTGACTTTTAGAGTATCCTGTGGTGCCACTGTTTTCCTATACTGGCCAGGAAACTTAAGGGTCAACTGTATATATATCAGGGATGGAGGGAAGCAGATGTTGGGGACACAGTGAGCAGAGAGAAGAGGGAAGGCTTGAAAGGAGGAGAGGGTTGGAGTTCCTCCCCTCCATGTGCCCAAATCCTAAGAAATGCTGCCCAGAGCCTCAGTCGAGAGGACTCAGACGGGTGCCACAGGAAGGAATCCCATGGATCCTGAACAGCCAGCTGCTCTGTCTCCATTAGAAGGAGGAGAAGAAGCAACAGAAGGGGGAGAGGGGGAAAGAGAAGGCAGGAGAGAGAAAAGACATTGGAACTCCCTATTGACCCCCTGCTCATTTCATAGATGTCTTTTGTTTGGTGTGTACAGCAGCAAAGACCCTCTCCCCCAAGATGGGGGCCAGGCACACAGTGGCACAGTCAGGGACAGGGCACCTGGCCCCCGCCCATCACTGACGTCCCCAGCTCCGATGTCCAAAGACCATACAACTGGAAGACAAAGCTCCAGTGTTTGAGGAATGAATTTGCTCCCTGGTCCAAATGCCCTGGTGGCCTGCATGGCTTTCCTGAGGCACTTTGCAGAGTACCCCACCAGGAGGCCTGTGTGCAGTACCCTCCTATCCTCCACTCTCAAAGCTCGCAGGAGGCTAAGAGGAGAGGTACAGGTCTCCCCCGCTATCCAAAAGTCCGCTTTACGCCTCTTTGCTTTTATGAAAGACCTACATTAGTCTTTCGAAAGAAACCAAAGAGGATTTTTGCTTTTACAAAAAAAGGCAAAAAACAAAAATAGCGTTCAGCATTATAGAGGCCGTGCACACCCCAAGCAGCAAGAGTGGCCGCCCAGCTCTTCCCTGGGAGCTACACTCCGCATCTCAGCGTCAACCCGCCATAGCTGGAACTGCGTCTGTGAGCATCTGTGCTTTATCTCGGCTTATTTTGGTAGGTTATTTTTGGGGTCTGGGAATGCTCAAAATTTTTTCCCATATAAATTAATGGTAATTGTTTTTTCACTTGATGCCATTTCAGCTTACGAAAGGTTCCATAGGAACGCTCTAGTGGATAGCAGGGGAAACCTGTGAAGGGCCTGGGGGATCCTAGGAAGTAGGCCAGGAAGTCCAGGGTGTTGCCTGTTGGTTGTGGGTCTGCAGTGAAGTTCCCCGTGTAGGGTTTACCTCGGTGGTAATTTGTCAGGGTGAGAGACAGGCCCAGCTCGAGGAGGCCCTCAAGAAGGAGCAGGTTAGCTCCCCAGTGCTCATCTGGAGTACCAGGACTCTGGGCCTTTCCAGATCTCACTCAGGCTGGCTTAGAACCCCTGGGAGAGGCCAGATCCAGTGACAGAAAGCCTGCCTGAGCATGAGGGTTTCCCAACTGAAATTCCTTCCAGAAAGCAGCTGCAGGAGCCAACTTCAGGGCAACAAGAGCTGCCATGGAGGAACATCAGGGTCAGATCAGTCCAGTGAACACTGATTGAGACCCCGCTGTGTGGAAAGCACCTTGATCATTCTGGACTTACAGAGGTTTCAGTCTCTTTCTGCTTGGTTGTACCACATGGAGCCACCCACTGAGGGCAGCAAAGCCCTGTCCAAGCCAGCCTGGCCCGGCACAGCCACCAACAGCTCATGATTATCTATGTACTCCTGACCCTGTTGCCCCCAGCCCCCACCCCCGCCTTCCACCTGGCATATGCTTCACCGTATTCACTCGAGTACCCTCACCCTCAGCCCAGCCTCTCTTATGAGCAACCTGGTATCTAAATTCTAGGAATGAGGGGCCAGCCCCGTGGCTTAGTGGTTAAGTACGTGCGCTCTGCTACTGGCGGCCCAGGTTCGGATCCCCGGCATGCACTGACGCACCGCTTGTCCGGCCATGCTGAGGCAGTGTCCCACATACAGCAACTAGAGGGATGTGCAACTATGACGTACAACTATCTACTGGGGCTTTGGGGAGGAAAGGGGGAAAAAAAAAAAGGAGGAGGATTGGCAATAGATGTTAGCTCAGGGCCAGTCTCCCTCAGCAAAAAGAGGAGGATTGGCATGGATGTTAGCTCAGGGCTGATGTTCCTCACAAAAAAAATAAAATAAAATAAATTCTAGGAATGAGATGTTTTTGTCAATTTATCTTAACATAGGTCTGTGCCTCCTTGCCTTTGAAAGCCAGAAACTTTTTGTAACCTCCAAATGCTCCCTGTAGTCCAAGATGAGGTTGATTTCACCTCACTTTCTACTCTTTCTTTTTCTTTCTTCCCCAAGCCCCAGTACCTAGTTGTATAATCTACTTGTACGATTATACAACTTAAGTTGAACTAAGTCCTTTTAGTTCTTCTATGTGAGCCCCCACCACAGCATGGCTACTGACAGACAAGTGGTGTGGTTCTGCACCCGGGAACTGAACCTGGGCCACCAAAGTGAAATGCACCAAACTTTAACCACTAGGCAATCAGGGCTGGCTCTCTACTCTATTTCCAGGAGCATCTCTTATCAGTTTCCTTTGTTCAAAGTAGCTGGTAACTTTTCCCCAGAGCTAAAATTTCTCATGCAGTATTTGGTACCAGGGCTAGGTGCTTACTAAAACTGTGACTTTACAGTCCCTGAAGGGCCAGGGACCCCAAAAGAGAATGGAGTCCATCCAGCTCATAATGATCATTCATTCATGGTTTGAATGCTATTTCCAAAAACAACTTCACACAGCTTCTGGTAACTGAATGTCTACTATGCTCCAGGAACTTGGCTGCCAAAAAACCAACGATGGGAGCTTTTCCCTCTGCTGCTAAACTGACTGTCAGATAATGGGATCTGCCTTTCTTAGCTGTGTGTGCCTAACGTGTAGCTCAGGCCCTGGTGGCCAGTGTTTAATACATTCTCAGTTGATCGAATGAATGAGTGCCTTTTGGAAGAGAGTAATAGAGATCTTTGACCTGGTCCTAGAAGGTGAAGAGGACATAATAAAAGCTTAATGAACATTTGCTAAATGAATAAGTTAGTGGAGGAGGGGCTGCACATCCCAGGAAAGAGACGAGGAAGAAGGAGGGAGGTCAGGAGGCGTCAGCGTGAGTTCACAGCTCTCCGCACCAGGCTCCTGCTCCTCTTCCAGAAGATGCACATGCTTCTCCCTCTGTCTCTCCAGATCCCCGACGTTTGCTGGTGGCCTCTTCTCCATCTCCAAGTCCTACTTTGAGCACATCGGTACCTATGATAATCAGATGGAGATCTGGGGAGGGGAGAACGTGGAAATGTCCTTCCGGGTGAGAGTAAAGAAGGATTCGCGGGGGAACCACAACTTCCCAGGGTACAGCCTGAGACCCTGTCTCTTAGGCAGCGGCAGCCTCTGGGATAACTCATCTGGAGCTGAACTTAAAAGGGTGGCTTTCCTGTCATGGCTCCGCCTTCACTCTGCTCCCCTCCCAGTCCTTGGCTGTTGGGCTTTGGGAATCAGATTAGACAACTTGGGACAAATGGCTGCACAACTCCTCAGAGGGAAGGGACAATAGGGCTGATAGGGACTGGACATCTGGGGACATCTTTCATGATGTCTGTGGGAAAAGCGTTAGAGTGAAGATGGAACAGGTCAGTAAGCCATCACTATTCTTTTTCTGGAAAAATCAGGCTCCCCTCCTCTCCAGGTCAGAGGACACACACCCTGGCAGCCTTTGTAGTTTCCCTACCCTGTACTCAGCAAGCTCCTCATAACCGTGGGAGAAGATGGTGGACCCCAGAACTCAGAGGGATTCCAGAAATTAGGCAAATCAGGAATAGGTTAGGCAGAAAGGGCTGCCTCTCCACAAAATCTACCCAAATCCCCATGCCAGTAGAGAATTAATAGTAAGTCAATGAGCTCGTTTATGAAGTCACCGCTCACAGTGCCTGGCACATATTAAGCACATCACTGACACCTGCTGTGACTATGATTATGAGTATGTATTTCTGTTGCTGCTATACTAAAATCAATAACAACATACCTCCCAATATAAAACCTAAAAAAGAGAAGATACAGGTAGGAGGGATGTCTTAAACCAGCCCACTGGCATAGAGAAGGGTCAACACTTCGGTCACCATGACCCCCAGGGTTCTGATTCTAGGCTCATCCATGAGCCTCTGACCTCTGTTCCATCTCTCTCCTAGGAAGCTGGTGTGCTAAGGGTTCAGGTGACTACCACAGGCTACCTGGCCGTTGACCATCCTTGGTGTAATTAATGCACTGATGCTCTGATTGGTTCACAAGTCTATCTTGACTTGGGGGTGCTTGAGTTTCCAGTAACACCTTCTGAGCTGATAAAAATCACATTTCCAGGTCGAAAAGCCAAGCGACTAGAGCTCAGAGTAGGTATACGGACACAAAATTAGCCAATTGTCTTTTCTCTCTAAAGTGGGCCCTGGTAACCCTTAGAACCCTGCAAATTTCCGTTTGCTTAAATCGGAGTGAACCAAAATCAGAAAGCCAGGGATTATGCAGTCTCTGCACACGAAGCCCAGTCAGTGTCCTTTTTTCCAGGGAGAGAGAGCAGCGTTTCCCTGAGTCCTTGGACCTGGGGTCTGGGAATAGAACAGAGCTGCTTGAGGGGCTATTTTCCCGCCCACCCCCCTGAAGGCCCCACCTGTATCCTCTTATGGCAGGTGTGGCAGTGTGGGGGCCAGCTGGAGATCATCCCCTGCTCTGTGGTGGGCCACGTGTTTCGTACCAAGAGCCCCCACACCTTCCCCAAGGGCATCAGTGTTATTGCTCGCAACCAAGTGCGGCTGGCTGAGGTCTGGATGGATAGCTACAAGGAGATTTTCTACCGGAGAAATCTGCAGGCAGCAAAGATGGCCCGCGAGGTGAGAGGAAACAGTGCTCAGGAGATGTTTGGATGAAGAGAAGTGCAGAATCCCAGATCCCGGTCAGGGGCTTAATGGCAGAGGCCCACCCATCTCTACCATCTGGTGCCTCCCTCTACCCCTCAGAGCCTGGGAGCGAGAGCCCAGGGAAGCAAGGTTTTGAAGGCTGGAGAATGAGGAGGGGCCCCTTTGTCGTCCCTGCCTGGAGAGCCCCGGCATCTTTTAGGAGGGGAGGGAAAAGAGATTGGAGGAAGAAACTCTTACAGGAGGTTCTTTGCCCTGTGAGGCTCGGAATGGGGGACTGGGAGAAAACTGACTGGGAAGTCACAAGGAATGAGAGGTAAGGGGGCTATGAGTGGGGGTCCCAAAGCCAAGGCAGGGGATTTGAGATTGGATGTGAGGCTGAGCCAGTAACCCCAACAGGTTCTGAGGGGGAATGAGCATGAGACCCATCCTGGGAGAAGCAGCCCCAGGAACTCTGGGCTGCTTCAACCCAGATGAGGTCAGACTGGTGAAACTGACCTTAGGGGTGGCTTGGTTGACAGAAATCCTTTGGTGACATTTCTGAGCGACTGCGGCTGAGGGAACAACTACACTGTCGCAACTTCTCCTGGTTCCTGCACAACATCTACCCGGAGATGTTTGTCCCTGACCTGAAGCCCACCTTCTATGGAGCTGTGAGTCTTGAGAACCAACGTGCCTGCCCGTCATCACAGAACCCCCTGGGAAAGTGCAGGACCACTTGCCCCGCAGATGGATGACAAACAAGAATTGATCTTTACTCTCCACACTCCTGCGTTTAGAAGGAGGCCTGAGAGGCCACTTTGGGGTTTCTAGAGATAGCTAAAACATTGTAAGAGGAAAACAACCCATAAGCAGTGGTTCTCAAACATTTGCCTGCATCAGAATCACTAGCAGGTGTGTAAACACAGACTGCTGATTTGGTAGGACTGGGGTGGGGCCTGAACATGTGCATTTCTAGCAAGTCCCCTGGTGATGCTGATGGTCTGAGGATCACACTTTGAGAGCCATTGCTCATGGGAAATTCCGAAGTGCTGAGGGCTTCTCCCAGGGACCTGGCCGCCTGGGAAGTTGCCCATCCTGCCCTTGTTCAGCCTCCAGGCTCTGCATCTCCCTTTGCTGTTAACTCCAGGCATAGGGGTTAATGAGCAGAGAGGATGAGCAGAGGAGAAAGATCACAGAGGAAGAGTCCAGCCATGCAAATTTATTCCAGTTGGGCCCCACACCACAAACCAAAAAACTCCTGACTGGGGTATCCCATTTCCCCTTTCTGCTCACCATTCTGCAGATCAAGAACGTCGGCATTGATCAGTGCCTAGACGTGGGTGAGAACAACCATGGAGGGAAGCCCCTCATCATGTACGCCTGCCACGGCCTTGGCGGCAACCAGGTACACAGCCCAACGGTACCAAGGCAGGCGGGAGAGAAGACTGTATCTGGGGCAGCTCCTCTCTTCACAGGCCCAAAATAGTCCTTTCCTGAGGACTAGGGTGGGGGAGATACCCTACCCTCAGAAAGTTCCCAGTCTGGCGGGGAATGCGTGAAACAGACAAGGTCTGAAGTACAAATTAGGGACATCCAGAGAGCACTGGGCGTCAGTGCTGGGGGCTTGAGACGGGTGGGAGGGGAAGATGTTCGTCAGAGAAGGCTTGCTGGAGGATACCAGCTGCTGAGTGAGGTTTTAGGGTGACTGTGGAGAACTGTTAAGCACTTTCCCTCACCTACACTCAACTTCCATCTTCAATGCCTCCACTGCCCAGAAGCTACCACTCTGATCCTGCCACCCAACTGTGATCCCAAAACAACCACCTACTGACATCTCACAGTTACCTGATATCCTGGGAATTTACTCCATGCCCTACAATGCCCCAGCTCAGCATGTGCAAATGAAGACAAAGTCATTCTAAAGCAATTTCCTGTACCACTGGCCTACACAATGATGTCAGTTGGTACATTGATGAACATTTTTTTTAATTAATTAATTTATTTATTTATTTATTTATTTATTTATTTATTTATTTATTTTTGGTGAGGAAGATTGGCCCTGAGCTAACATCTGTGCCAGTCTTCCTCTACTTTGTATGTGGGTCGCCACCACAGCATGGGTTGATGAGTGGTGTAGGTCCACGCCCGGGATCTGAACCTGTGAACCCTGGGCTGCCGAAGCGGAGCATGCTGAACCTAACCACTGGGCCGGCCCCCATTTTTTATTTGAATAGTAATTTATTATCAGAAAAAGAACTGGCATATCAAACACTGGATTTCACAGATAATGCTTAAGATGAGGCTAAGTTACATTTTTAATTAAAGAAAAAATATTAAGTAACTATTATTCCAGTGTAACCCAGATATGGTAAAAATCCTGAAGGTGGCACATGAATTACTAAAGTCTTGGCACCCCCTCACTTTCCTCCCCAGGAGGCCATCTAGGGTTGGCATCCTTGGGCAGTTGGCTTTGGAAGGTGGTAGGCAAACTCTCTGCCTCCTTCTCAGGACCTCCTCTCGTCTTGACTTGTAGTACTTTGAGTACACAACCCAGAGGGACCTTCGCCACAACATCGCAAAGCAGCTGTGTCTACATGCCAGTGCTGGCACTCTGGGCCTTAGGAGCTGTCACTTCACTGGCAAAAATAGCCAAGTCCCCAAGGATGAGGAGTGGGAATTGACTCAGGTGAGTCAGCTGCCCAGAAAGCTCAGAATTAATAACCTGAGGCCACAACTGCCCCCTCCTTATTTTCTGCATCTTCTGCCTGAGATACCATGGGGTGGATCAGGATGATGTGGAAAGTATGGGGAGTATGGCTTGGAACAGCCAGGGTTCTTGGGATTTAAGCAATGTTTGCTGATGGCTGGTTCTGGCTAATATAAAGGTGGGGTTGGGGGTTATGGTCCATGGCCAGCTCTGTCATGGCTCAAGTATTTTTAGGTTGAACCCAAGTAGATGAAGGTGAAGAGTCACTCATGGTTCCTGCCTGCCCTCTGTGTGCCAGGCACAAAGCTATGCACCCACGTACATTGATTTGGTTAATCTTTCAGAGCCTCTTCCCAAGTAGGTGGTGTCCCCGTTTCCATAGATGAGCCAGCTGAAGCTCAGCAAGTTTGTGACTGGCCTAAGACCCGTCACTAATAAATGGCAGGCCTGGGATTCAGACCTAGATACGTCTGGCTTGAAAGCATTACACCACACTGCTTCAGGATATGTAATGTAACTTCTACAGTACTGGGCCTAAACCAACACCCCCAGTGAGCCTCCACACCCCATTCTACCCCAATCCCCAGTCCCTGGCTTAGGGAAAGAGGAGCCTAATCTTGGGGCTACAGGGAAGGGGGGAGTCTAAATATGACCAAAGGCAGAAAGCGGGGTGGGCAGCAGTGGCCCTGGTCTTTGGGACTGGCCATCTGGAGGAGGGGGGCCCTGAAAGCATTTTTCGGTTAGCCCGTGGTCCTGCCTTCCTCTATTCAAGCCACTCAGGCTAAAGCTGGAGGTGGGGAATTGGCACCAGACACAGGTAGAAACTCAGGAAACATCCCTTCAGAGTATCTGGCCTCCAAGGAAAGGAATTTGGAAGTGTCCTCTCTGTGCCTTGTTCGGCTCCCTTTGCATTTTATGTATTGCCCCCATCTCATTGCCCCCTGGTTGCAGTGTTAGAGGTCTGAGGCCCAGGGTGACCCTTTGCTGTCATCTTGTAGGATCAGCTCATCAGGAACTCAGGATCTGGTACCTGCTTGACGTTGGAAGACAAAAAGCCAGCCATGGGCTCCTGCAATCCCAGTGACCCCAACCAGCACTGGCTCTTCATCTAGGCCCTGGATCATCCTCCGTGGGAGTTCCCACAAGCCTCTCAGGAAACAGGATTTTTGGGAACCTGATCATCAGCTTCTCTGTAGGCCTTAAAAGATGGATTTCTAAGCCCAATGGATGTCAAGGCGGGACTTTCCTACTCCTTGCAACAACATTGGGCCCATTTTCTTTCCTCCACATTGATGGAAAGGACCATTAGAACACATAATACTTGGCCTAGAGCTTTCCTTCTATCCTATAAACAGAGACTTCCAAAGCAGGGAAGGCAGCTGGCATGGGGCCAAGGCCAGAAATGCTGAATTCAAGAAAAGTACCTCTGCAGCCACGTCCTGAATCCCTGGTCATCTAGAGCACCCACAGAATCTGGTGAAATAGTACATTCTAACAGAGGGGTTAGAGGTCTCAAAGAGTCTAATATTACCTGAAGTTTGTAGAGCCGTTTACAGTTTACAGAAAGCACCCTGACAGGAATCCTTTACCTCACTTCATCTGCACAACAATCCTGTGAGAAAGACAGGACAGGAACCACCATGCCCATTTTACAGATAAGAAAGCTGAGGCAGAGAGGGGTAAAGGCGCTTGTCTATATCCCACAGCTAGTGGATGGCTGGAGCCAAGACTGAGGCTCAATCTTGAATGCTGAATCAGGGCTCCTTCCACCACACCACAAGAACACTAGACAACTAGCTATCAGCCTTCCTATTCTCTCTTCCCTCCATTCTGATATTTCTGGCTGGCTGATCTCCATAAAGCCTAGAACAATGAGGCCAGGTAGCCATGAGGGAGACCACATTTGGGAATCCTGGGATGTTAGTGTTGAAAGAAAGCTCGCAGAGCCAGTGATTCTCAGGTTTAAGTCCCAGAACCCTTTTTTTCAATGCCCTGTATATAATATAATTAAAAGGCAAAGTAGCCATGGGTGAAATTGAGGGTGGGGGAGGGCAATGCCACCAGCCACTGAAATTCTAAAGGTCTGTAAGGACAATTTGAAAATCGTGTTTTAGTCTAACCCTATCATTTTCATATTATGAAACAGGCCAATAAGTGAAGTAATTTGTCCGCATGGCAAGGTATTGGCAGCCCTGAGGCTAAGACCCAGATAAGGCTAACAAGTGCCCTGGGAAGTCTTAGGAAGCAGGGACGGGTGTGTAGAGTCGAGCATGACTACATGACTGGCCTTGTCGGCTGTACTCACATGAAGTCCCCACGTGGAATAAACCTGACATGCATGTCAGCTCTTCAAGCAAGTTGGACCCCACCGCACAGGACTGCTTTGCCTGAATTAGAGATACTAGCTGCCTGGAGGACTCACATTCCTTCCCGGCTTCTGACTTTCAGAAGCAGGCTGTCATCTTGGGCATCACCACATGAGGGTGCCATGGGATCACAGCTGCCTGGCCTGGCACAACTCAACACTACAGGAGGTCTCCTAGGCCCCTGAAGGCCTTCAGGATCCCATAGAGGAAACCTTCTGGGGTAGCCCAGCCTAAGGAAGAGGAGAGATTAGCCAGGATGTGACCTGGAGTGGGGAAAGGGAAAAGTTCTTTCCTGGAAAGAGAAGAGAATTGGACATGAGATCCCAGTGGAAATAAAGGTTTTCTGGCATTGGTAAAGGAAGTTTGCACTGGGTCTCCTGCGTTGTCCCTTAGCTGATCCATTTGGAGAATCACTTGGTTCAGGCTGTGAAGAACCACACACATCTGAAAAGTTCTGTCACAGCCACTGTCTCTTGTCCCCAGACCTCCTCTGGCCCCCAATGTAGCCTACATACTGTGTACCAAGCACATGTAGAAACAAGGAGATGGATGATCAGGCTCTTTCCCCCAGAAACTCACACTCTAGCTGGGAAAAGAGAGATGTAAGCAGGTTATGACAAGCCTGGAGATGTTCAGAGATGTTCTAGGTGAGTTAGAAGAATTCTTTCCATTTAGGAGAATCAGGGAAGGCCTCACAAAGATGGTGACTTTGACCTTAGACCTCGAAGGATGAGTCCTCGGGGGTGGGGGGGGCTCAATAAACAAAGATCTCACTCAAGCAATAGTCGAGCATGAGAAAAGTCACAGAGGGACAAAGGTATAAGTGGATCTGGGAAACCAAGAGGACATCAGGGTGAGGGAGCAGTGGATGTGGAAGCTAAAATGATCAGGGCCACATTTGACTTTCATGGGCCCTAAGCACTTTTGCCTTCATAAAAAAATATGAAAAATTGTTTTACAACTGCATTAGTATAAAGTTGAATATAATCCAGGCTGATTGTATTCCTTTTATTTCTTCTGATTTTAAAAGATACTAAGGCCCGGCCCTGTGGCTTAGCGGTTAAGTGCGCGCACTCTGCTGCTGGCGGCCCGGGTTCGGATCCCAGGCGCGCACCGCTTCTCCGGCCATGCTGAGGCTGCGTCCCACATACAGCAACTAGAAGGATGTGCAGCTATGACATACAACTATCTACTGGGGCTTTGGGGGGAAAAATAAATAAATAAAATCTTTAAAAGAAACTAAAACGGCCCGGGCCAGTGGCGTAGCAGTTAAGTGCGCACGCTCCACAGCGGAGGCCCAGGGTTCGCAGGTTTGGATCCCGGGCGCACACTGATGCACCACTTGTCAAGCCATGCTGTGGCAGCGTCCCATATAAAGTGGAGGAAGATGGGCACGGATGTTAGCCCAGGGCCGGTCTTCCTCAACAAAAAGAGGAGGATTGGCATTGGACGTTAGCTCAGGGCCGATCTTCCTCACAAAAAATAAATAAATAAATAAAAATTTAGAAAGGAACTGAAACATCTTTGTGGGCCCCTAAAAGTATTGTTGGCCCTCAGCACTGTGCCAGCTGTGCCTACTGGGCAAGTCGGCCCCTTAGATCCGTGGGTTGGGGCCCAACTGGGGAGGTTTTGAATGCCATGCTAATAAGTCGGGTAAGCAATAGGGAGCCACAGCCCCTAACTCTAACCCTAGCCCTAACTCTTGGTTGCATTAAACATCCAAACGTTTACCAGGCACTGATTGATTGTCATTTATCCTAAAATCCCTCATATTCTCTATGGCATCATCCAACAGCTCTCCAGCCCAATCTTATGATATACGCCCAACCAAGGTGCCCTGTTGTGGTGCCAAGTTTCCTCACCCCCACCCAAAAGCAGCATAGCCTCTCCCAGGAGCAGTCAGCTAAGGGTAACTCATAGGGAGTGAGAGATGCAGCAGAAGAGAGAAAAGACCACATGCCACGGCTAGAGAGTGGGCCCAGGTTTGGGGGTGAGGGGAGGAATAGGGAAGAGAGGTGGTCAAGAAGAGGGAGAGGGCACTGATGGGGTGGTGGGAAGGCTCAAGAAACCAGCTCCATGGCCTCCCCTAGCCCAACATCTGCACTCTTCCTTAAAATCCACCCCTGACCATTCTCAGAGCTAACCTAAAACCTTATAACCTTGCTTAAATCTTGCTTAAAATCTTGATGCTAGCCCTATGCTACTATCTCCCGGCTCCAGAAGCATCCCACCTTAGCATTGAATGGCTGATCCCGTCTGGGGATCTCTTTCCCACTTGAAGAGTATTGGCACCATTGCCAAAAATAGCTAAATGTCCCAGAATATACGTTTTACTTATTTTTAATTACAAAAGTAATACTGTAGAGAAGTCAAATAATACAGAAAAATATGAGTTTAAAAAGTGAAATTGACCCTCGCAATGCCCCCATACCTATCGATTCATTCTCTAGAAGTAATGACTTCTCGAGAGATAATGACTTCTAGGTATAAACCCTTCTATACCCTTTTTCTAGGAACATACAAATATACACATACACAGTACCATGTTGTCTGCAACATGATGTCTTCATTTAATGTATCAAGGACATCTTTTCATGTCAGTTCATTTAAGTCTAGCTCATTCTTTTTAAAAGCTGGGTAGTAGTCCATAATATTGTTAAACCCAATTTCTTTAACCCTATTGATGAATACTTAGGTTTTTCCCAATTTTGTGACAAACTATACTATAACCCACATCCTTCCTACATTTATTTTTGTGCCTGTGTTTATTTCAAAAGGATGCATTCCTAGAATTTGAATTGCTTAGAGGAAATGCAGTGCCTCCAAATTTAAGCCAAAGCCACTGTCTATGCCTAACCGTAAGAGTGAGAATAAAGAATTAGAGTCTGACCAGCATGGGAGATGAGGCTGGGCGTGTAGGTGAGGCACCGGTTGTCAGGGCCTGAAGTGCGGTCCTAAAGAGCTTGGTTTTTAAGCAAATACAGATTGGGCTTCTCTGGGCTGGGCCAAGGGTACAGAGATGGATGTGACCTTAACCTTGCCCTTAGAGGCTCACTTTGGAGTATGTAATGTAAGGGGTAACCTTTAGGAGGCCCTAAAGCCTCCTCTTGGACTCCTCATCCTGGGGCTAGAGCTGCCTCCTTTCCAGAGGAGGCAAGGAGGTGGGCAGAGAACGATAAAAGAGGCCCTGGTTCCTCCGCCCAGCTCAGCCCTCTTCCAGGAGCTCTACTTTGTGGTAGAATACTGGGGGTTGGACTGGAGAGGGAGCCCTCCAGTTACCCAAGCATCGGAGGGCAATTCCCCTGCACAGCTCAAGGACCTGAAAAGTGGCCGTCTGTACAGAATTCCATCCAACAGCCTTTTCCAGGCCTCTCCCACATTTGCAGGCATGCAACTTGAATTCTGGAGTGTGCAGGCAACAAAAGCCCCCAGTGGACCAGGTGACTTTCCTGCATCCCTCTAGGCTTCCCGGCTTCTCTCTGCCTAAATCACCCATAGTCCACCCATAGTCCTCTGCTCTGGGGCCTCCAGACCCAAAGTCCTCTGCCCACCTCAAGCACACTGTACCTCCCTCCTTACACCTCTGCTCACTTTGATGGACAGAGTCTTTCGTTTCCTGCAGGACACACCTGCTCCTCACCTCCTGCTCTCTCTGCCTTCCACCCTCATAGCCCTCAGACTATCTCCCTATCCTGAGGGCCGTCTTCTAACTCGCCCCACATTTTCCTTCTCTGGGAGCTCTCTTTGGCGCTCCATCTGAGTCTCCTCAAACCTGTTTCTTAGTACCCTCCTCCACCAGAATTCTCTCCACTGCATCTACTTTGCTTTTGTCTCCCTGCATTTACATCTATGTCTGTGTCCTGGGGGAATGTCCCATCTCCCTCCTTGGGCAGGGAGATGTTGCTGTCTCTTCCTTCTTCTTGCTAACCACTCTTTCCTCCTCCGCTCTCCCTTGCCTCCACCTCCTAGTGCACAGGATGGGTCTCTGCAGTTATGGTGCCACTAAGGACAGCGAGGCAGCAACAGACCACGAGGGGAGCACCCCGAAGGAAAAGCCAGTCCTGGTTCTCCATCTTATTTCTTTTTTTTTTTTTTTTGTGAGGAAGACCAGCCCTGAGCTAACATCCGATGCCAATCCTCCTCTTTTTGCCGAGGAAGACTGGCCCTGGGATAACATCTGTGCCCATCTTCCTCGACTCTATATCGGACGCCGCCACAGCATGGCCTGACAAGCGGGCGTCGGTGCGCGCCCAGAATCCGAACCTGAGAACCCTGGGCCGCCGCAGTGGAGCGCGCGCACTTAACCACTGCGCCACCGGGCGGCCCCCTCTCCATCTTATTTCTGAAAAAGAGTTTGTTGGATGATTTTCCACTGAAAGCAGATGATTAATTCAGCCCTGGCCTTGTTCTGTCTTTGAACCACAGATAAATTAGTGTACTTGAAAAGAAATCTTTTCATTTGTATTACCGTGTCACCTGTCATTTTCCCTGCCTTCCACCCACAGCCCTGCCAGCTGGCAGGAAGAAGGTCAGCAAAGCTGCTGATAAGAGGAGTGTAAAGAGGGCTTGGTTCACGGCAAGGGGGTAGTGGTCTACTCTGCTGGCAACATGCTGCGCTTCCTGGTGTTTGCCTCGTTGGTCCTTCATGGTAAGTGGGTTATCTGGCCCAAGTCCTATAGGGAGGGGGATTTGAGCAGGAGGGTTGGAAAGCTATCCCTAAGCCCAGGCTTGCTGTCTATCCCAGGGTGGGGTGGGACACTCTGCCTGTGAGTCTAGCAAAAACCTTACTCTCCTGGAGCCCATGATAGGGAAGGTCAGGGCCACTCTCCATGCAGGCCCCTCTGGTTGGCAGGTCCCTGAGCCATGAAGCAGAGAGCAGCCTCTTCCGAGGGCCTGGGCTTCCCCACTACTCCCAATGACAGGAAGACATCCTCAGCAGGTGTCTGTCTGGGATGTGCACTGCTGTCCTCGCCCCGTGGAGAATCCAGCCAAAGCATTATGTGGTGGGGGGAAGGGGGAAGGGGAGGTCCCTTCAAGCCAAAGGATGACCCTGAGCAAGGCTGAGACTACAAGGAGCCTCTGGGGCCCCAGCCTGGTGGTGTGAGCTAGGTCCTTCCTAGCATGCGTCAGACTATCCGTAAGAGTTGTGAGGACACTTCTGAGGCGGAAGTAGAAGGCTCTCAGACTCTCCTGCTTTCAAAAGAGGCTCAGAGAACTCGCAGCTGGGCCCCTCATTTGCTAGGGAGGAACTGTGAATTTACAGACAAAGCACAACTGCCATGCCCCACCCCTACCCTGAGCTGACCCCATGCTTAGTCATCACTCATTTTTCTTCTGCCCCACAAAGGACACAGCACCCAGGACATTCTGGAAACCAACGCCCGGGTAGTTGGAGGGAACGAGGCCCAGAAGAATTCTTGGCCCTCTCAGGTGGGGTTCCTTCACAGCCCCAGACTTCCAACAAAATAGTTGCCTGTGCGCCGATATACAATATTATGTGTGTTTGTGTATGTGCTTATCAACAGGAAGCTCCCTGACTGCCTGGATTCTAGATTTTAAAGATGAATGGGACAAGGCTTAGGCAGTTTTTCTAAATGCAAAAGGCTTGGAGGGGGGATTTAAACACCAACCGCACTCACTCTCCCAACCACATTTACACTCTCAGTGACACCACTTATGCTACAATAGCAAGACTACACAACTCAGACCCACACCTCAGACTCCACATACCTTGACACACATTCACATACACACACACACACACAACTCCACACAGTGTGTGTCATGCATTCGAGAACACCCCGACCCCCAAGTAGAGCATGTTGCTTATCTGGTGATTTAAAGAGTTTCCACTTTCGTGACAGGGCAGCTAGGCTCTGATTTAAGCAATTCTAAATGTGTAAAACTGGCAAATTAACTGGTGAATGACACACTGTGAGAGAAACCACTGCAATTAGAATCAAATTCAATTTACAAAAGTTTGAGCCCCGATTTTCAGGAATAGAGCTACTGTGTAATATGAGGTGCTGAAGGAGAAGACATGAACTGATAAAAATGACCATCCCAATGGTATTTTTACGTTTTCCCTGAAGTGGGGGTACAGGGTATAACTTGATCCTTGGAGGGGGAGCTCTGGAGACCTAAGCTTCTGGGGCTCAGGCGACAGAGCAATTCCATGGCTACATTTCCTTCCCAAGAGGGAATGGAGGTAGAAGGACCTGGGTTCTTGGCCTTTGCAACAACCGAGAGTAGGGATGCCAAATATACCATGTATGTGTCTTTACCCCCCCATCATGTACGCAGCAAACATCACCAAACAACGGAGCACTCTTTATTGCAGTGCAGGCATCTACGCACCCCTTCTCACCACCACTCCAGGTAGCCACTACCAACCAATCAATAGCAATTGACAGGTCAAATGAAAGCTATTTGCCATGTCTAGCCTAGAAAGTTGGAGAATGTTTTGAGGGATGGCAGGAGGTTAAGGAGGTAACATGTAGTTTGGGACAAGGCCTTTTAAGAAACACCAACCTATCCCTCCTTTCTTCCCTGCCCATCTAGATTTCCCTCCAGTACCTGTCTGGAGGTAGCTGGTATCACACCTGTGGAGGGACCCTCATCCAACAGAAATGGGTGGTGACAGCTGCTCACTGCGTGGACAGGTGAGAAAAACAAAGACCAGCTTTTCTGAGCCCCTGGGAGAGTACAGTCTGGCCCTTCTGGTGGAATATGTATCTGGCCTCTCAGGATAAGACTTTAAGCGGGTGTTTGGGGGCCAGTGGAGAGGTAGTAGAATATAATGAAAAGTACAAATTTTGGCACCAGGCAAGCTTAGGTTGAAATCCCATTCTATCTTCTTCTAGCTATGTGACCTTAGGCAACTTACTTAGCTTCTCTAAGCCCTCATTCTCTTATCTCTAAAATGGGGTAATAATACCTACTTTATAGAGTTATTGTGAGGATTAATTAGGTAAATATTTAAATGCCTAGTCAATGCCTGGCTGGAAACCATTTTTTTATATTGGTCTTGAGCAATGGTTCTCAAATTTGAGCATGTATGGAATCACCTCAAGGGCACAGATGGTTGGGCCCCACCCAGCAGAGTTCCTGTTTTGGCCAGTCCAGGTTGAGTCCTGAGAATCTGCATTTCCAACAAGTTTCCAGGTTATGCTGATATTGCTGGTCCAGGGACCATGCGTTAAGATTGGTCTAGAAGCTTATACTTCCCTCAAAACCCTCTGTGGGCTGAGATCCATTGTTTCATTTATACTCACCACACCTCTCCCAGGTTATGAGATATTTAGTCTATGATGTTTAGCTCAATAAATTGGGAAAATGGAGTTTATGGTAGATCTTGTCACTTCCACAAGTTAGTAAACTAGAGAATGAAAGAGCTTGTTACTTCCTCATCCTCCAGGGCCTTTCATCCCTCCTCTGCCTGGGCCACATAAGATGGGTTCTTGTCCTAAAGATAAGATATAAGATGGCTTCCCAACTTTTCTCTAAGGGGGAAAGAGAAGGTGTGAGCCCGCTGACTCACTCAGGGCTTCCATCTCTCACTCCAGCCAACTGACCTTCCGTGTGGTGGTTGGAGACCACAACCTGAGCCAGAACGACGGCACAGAGCAGTACGTGAGTGTGCAGAAGATCGTGGTGCATCCAAGCTGGAACAGCGATAACATGGCTGCTGGGTAGGAGTAAGGCTGGGCTGACCTTGGGCTGGGAGGTGGAGGGCTGACTAGCTGGCAATGGAATCTTGGCTTATTTCATATTCATCCAAGAGAACTTTTTTTTTTGGTGAGAAACATTAGCCCTGAGCTAACATCTGTTGCCAGTCCTCCTCTTTTTGCTGAGGAAGATTGGCCCTGGGCTAACATCCGTTCCCATCTTCCTCTGCTTTATATGGGACGCCACCACACCATGGCTTGACAACCAGTGCGTCAGTCCGTGTCTGGGATCAGAATCTGCGAACCCCAGGCTGCCCAAGTGGAGCATGCGAACTTAACCACTACGCCACCAGACCAGCCCCCAACCGAGAGAACATAGAGAATTTAGATTTTGGAGGGCTTGAGAATTTTTGAAGATCTTTGGGATTGGCTTGATCTAGGCGGCTTTGAACGATTAGATCACTGAAGCTCCTCTGCAGAGTTTAATGTTTCCATTTTTATTGTTATTTATGATTCATTTTGTAGGATAGACTCCATCCGCAAAAGTAAATTTCTTAAAATGAATCTCACATGAGAAAACTACAAGACTGAGCTGTAAATTTTTGGAAAGGACATAGTTAAAATGGTGGTCAATTCTGTAGAGTGCAGGAGCGGGAATATTTCTGCAGAGCTGTCAGAACCATGCAGCATTTTACATCTTTCTCTTTTGAGAACTCTTCTCTGCTACCAAGATCACACCACTCGGCTCCTTTCTGATTCCCCATTCCTAACTGAAAGATGTAAGCTCCACTCCCCTGGGTTGCAGATATCTGAGCTAGACTGCAACACAAGGCCTCACCAGCAGGTGCTGCTGTTAAACATGTCGTGTCCTACAATACAAACAGTAATTCCTCAAGTTTGAGGCTTAGCAAGTCAGCCCCCTCCTTCTTCAAAGTCATTGGTTTCCAATTCCATGGGGACACAAAGGCTTAGAGAGGGCCTGCCGTATGCTGACCTGAAGGAAGGCCTGATCCCGTGAGTGAGCAGTCTCCTTTCCTCCTGCAGGTATGACATCGCCCTGCTGCGTCTGGCCCAGAGGGTCACCCTCAACAGCTACGTCCAGCTGGGTGTTCTGTTACAGGCGGGAACCATCCTGCCTAACGACACTCCCTGCTACATCACAGGCTGGGGCAGGACCAAGAGTAAGTTACCTACACTGGCACCATCCACCACATGGATCTTGAATAGGTAGCTGAGCTTCTGGGGCACATTTTTCTGTGGTCCTAGGTGTTCACAGCCAGAGACCAGAAACCAAAGGAACCAGAGATAAAATAACTGACACAAGAAATCAAGCTAAGAACGGGCTATGGCAGGGCCGGCCCCTGGCATTGTGGTTAAGTGGGCACACTCTGCTTCAGTGGCCCAGGGTTCGCGGGTTTGGATCCCGGGCGCAGACCGATGCACTGCTTGTCAAGCCATGCTGTGGTGGTGTCTCATATAAAGTAGAGGAAGATGGGCATGGATGTTAGCCCAGGGCCAATCTTCCTCAGCAAAAAGAGGATGATTGGCATCAGATGTTAGCTCAGGGCTAATCTTCCTCACAAAAAAAAAAGAGAGAGAGAGAGAGAGAAAAAAAATTTTTTTAAAAAAGGGCTGTGGAGTAGTCAAGTCAGAGATTCATAGTCTCTTATAAATAAAAAAAACTTACCTGAGGGTATTTTTTACCAGCCTCTCATTTTATACGTGAGGAAATTGAAACCCAAAGAAATTAAAGACCTTGTGCAAGATCACATGACTAGTTAGCTGAGGCCAGAACCCAGGTATCCTGGCTCCCACTTTGGTGGTCATTACGCCATCATGCTGTGGGTTGGAGTGAGTGAACGAGGAGTAGTTATAAGTCCAGAGAAGTGAGGGCAGAGGAGGCCATAGGAGACCTGTTCTGATCATCTTGGGAAGATGTCTGGTAGGGAATGTCTTTCAGATGAGGTGGAAAGGTGAGAGGGCTATGAGCAGAGATAGTTAAAAGGGCAGAGACATTAGGCCTGACACAGAAGTCTGTAAGCCATCAGGCAGTATTTGAGCTCCAGAGGAGAGGCAAGGCCTTGCTGTGAGCAGCCAGTCTACTGGGAGAACCTGGAGCTGAGAGAGCGAGATGCTTGTAATTCAGCTCTGCTCTCAGTTCACTTAATGTCGTTGTGGTTCAATTTCCTGATCTATAACAGGGAAGGGTTGTTGTAAGGATCCAAAGAAATTATTCATGTGCAAAGGCTTTGAAAAGTCAAAAGAGCCAGATAAAGGAAAGCTGCACTAAGCTCTTAAGAAATGGAAACAAGTCCTAGTTCTGCTCCATGGGGTTTACAGTGTAAGGAGGAAGCAGGACAGACAGAGAAGTTATCAACAAATAAGATCATTCCAGTTACTTAACTATAGTATCTATGAGTTAAAAAAAAAAAAAAAAGGCAGGAGTAGGATTGGTGGTTTGGAGCCTGGGAACAGTAATCAAGGATGACTCCCTGAAGGAAGGGGCCTGTAGCTTCCATATAAAGAGAGAAAAGAGGAGGATCTATAATATGCAATGGGCAGAGAGGAGGAGCTTGAGTTCAGCTTTCATCAGAGCTTGGGAAAGTTTGGCAGGGTGTGGAAGGTTTTTCCCCTGGACAGCATCTGGGGCTGACCTCCAATGCCATGTGTCCTGTTCAGCTAATGGGCAGCTGGCCCAGACCCTGCAGGAGGCTTACCTGCCCTCCGTGGACTATTCCACCTACTCCAGTGCCTCCTACTGGGGCTCCACTATGAAGAACACCATGGTGTGTGCTGGAGGAGACGGAGTTCGCTCTGGATGCCAGGTGAATACAGGCAGGAAGTGTCAGAAGTCCCACCCCAAGTCCCTCCCCTCTCTGCTGCCCACCCTCCACCTTTTCCTCACTCCTTATTCCACACCTACTCCCGCCTCCACGTACAGACTCAACTTTCCACTCTGGTGTCTGAATGAGAATGATTCTGTGCTAGTAACTCTATACTCGCAGAATCTCAAAGTTGAAAGGAATCTTGAAATTCATCTTACCTAATGCCCTCACCTCAAAAGCTTGTATGTGGCCCAACGTTTGTGTGTTGGTGCATATGTGTGTTCTTTAGGAGTTGTTTGTGACCTAGAGTTTTATGGCTGCAGTGGGGCTGGGCCTGGGTGGTGGTTGTAATTGTGTGTAAGGTAGCTCCCCTCCCATCAACCCCAACGTTTCTTTTTTTTTTTTAAATTGGATTGATCCTTTTTATTTATTTATTTTTTTTGAGGAAGATTGGCCCTGAGCTAACATCTGTTGCTAATCTTCCTCTTTTTTTTTTTTTCTTTTTTCTCTCCAAAGCCCCCAGTACATAGTTGCATATCCTAGTTGTAGGTCCTTCTAGTTCTTCTACGTGGGATGCCACCTCAGCGTGGCTTGATGAGCTGTGAGTATGTCCGTGCCCAGGATCCGAACCGGCAAACCCCAGGCCACCGAAGCTGAGCGCATGAGCTTAACCGCTGTGCCACCGGGCTGGCCCAACCCCAACTTTTCTTGTGGCTCCTCCACCACCACACCTTCCCCCAGCAGTAGTCGCAGCAGTATGTATGGGTGAATACGGTAGAGGAAAGTGCACCAAATAGTTTTATAATAGTTTATCTATATAATGAATAGAATCTTCTTCTATTTAGACAAGATCAATCAGCAGTACACCATCTTAGAGATTTCTTAATGCAGGTCAATAAATGTTCTTGATTATCTACTAAATGCCAGGTACTATGCTAAGTGCTAGGGATACAAAGATGAATCAAACAGTATCTAGTGGAGAAATGCAAGGAGCAGACACATGATAGAACATCATAATACAATGTGGTTAAGTGTCACAATAAAGATATGCAGAGGGTGATGTGGGAGCCCAAAAGATAGGCACTCACCGCTACCTGCTGGGGTCAGAAAAGACTTGCCTTCCCCAAGAAAGTGGAGTCTATAATGAGTCCTGAAGGTTGAATAGCAGAAAGGCAGGCAAAAAGAGGACAAGACATTCAGAGAGAGGGAACAGCAGGAATAAAGGCATGGCCCAAGAAACATCTAGAACACATAGAGAATTATAGGGTGTTCCCTACAGCTCGAGCAGAGGTCGGAGCCTTCAAGCCTCCAAATTGAGCATGCTGCCTGTTTTTGTATGGCTCACGAACTAAGAATGGTTTTTACATTTTTATTTTTTTTAATTTATTTTTTGTGTGTGTGAGGAAGATCAGCCCTGAGCTAACATCCATGCCAATCCTCTTCTTTTTGCTGAGGATGACTGGCCCTGAGCTAACATCCGTGCCCATCTTCCTCCACTTTATATGGGACGCCGCCACAGCATGGCTTGACAAGCAGTGTGTTGGTGTGCGCCCGGGATCTAAACCCTGGCTGCCAGCAGCCGAGCTCGTGCACTTAACCGCTACACCACGGGGCCGGCCCCGGTTTTTACATTTTTAAATGGTTGTGAAAAATCAAAATAATAATAACATAAAAAATATAAAATTTCAATCTTCATAAAAAAACATTTTATTAGAATACAGCCATGCTTGTTCATTTATGTATTGTTTATGGCTGCTTCCACAGAGTTGAGTATTGTGACAGAGACTGTATGGCCTGCAAAGCCTAAGATATTTACTATTTGGGCCTTTACAGAAAAACGATTGCTGACTAGGGAGTGTCAGGAGATGACACTAGGGACAAGTAGGAGCCACATGAATCAGGGCTTCAAATGCCATTCTTGGGGACATGAACTTTAACTCTTAGGGACTGGAAAAGATTGAAGAGTTTTAAGCAGGAGAACAGCATAATCAGATTTACCTTTTGGAAGCCCTCTCTGATGACAAGGTAAGCATGTTTTTGAAGAGGGCAAGATTGGCAGGGAGATGTGTTAGGAGACTGCTGCAATTATCGAGGCAAGAAACTTGAGGGCCTAAATGAGGGCAGTGGAGAGGAGGGAAGAAGGAGGAGGATCTGGAATGACTTCCAGGCATTTGGTTTAAGTGATTTTGGGGAGGGGTTTGCTGACTCGCATGAGACAAGATTTATAAGATTTGAGAGGGAAGGTGATGAGTTTGTTTCCAGACAAGTTGAGTCTGAGATCCCACTGGGACATCTGGGTATAGTTAACCAGTAAGAAATTCGATATAAGAAAGTAGAGCCTGGGAGAGAGAGCTGGGCTAGAGATACCCTTAAGAGCAAAAAAGATCCCCTCCTCTACCTCCCCCCACCCCCCCATGGAAAAGTGGTAGAATGAGAGAAGAGCAGAGAGTTGGGGGAGGAACTGTGATAACTGAAATACTTGAGTGCTTCAGGGATAGGTGGGGGATGAAGAACCCATAAAGACCTAAGAGGGATTAGAGATAAGAGAAAAAGGTAGTAATAAGGGTTTTATAAAATCAGGAAGTACTGATAGGTCATCACATAGCATAATGTGTAGCCAAGAGCCACGGTAGATAACTGAAAGTGGCTACTTTGGTGGTCAGTAGGTCACTGGTAGCTATGGCAAGAACGGTTTCAGTGGAGTGGTGAGGGCAGAAGCTTGACTGAAGAGTAAGAAATGAAGAGGCAATAAGAAACATAGCAAAGAATGTAGACTACTCTTCAAAGAATCTTGTATGAAAGAGAAGAACAGAAAAAGTCTGGTAGCTTTAAGGAGGATGACAAGTCATGGAGGGGGTGGATCTCCTAAGAAGGAAAAAAATTGCATGTGTTAATAAGTAGAGAGGAAAGGATCCTGTAGAGTCAGAAAGAGGGAATAATGGATGGCGCAAGATCCCAGAGGAGAAGGAAGAGATGGAAGCAAGAGCACAGGTGGAGTTTGCTTTGAACAGGAAGAGGAAAACGAAAATGTACGTGGTCATGAAAGAATGTGCAGTCTGGGTAGCTGGAAGTTGGCAGGTGTTCTGCATTATTGCTTCTATTTACTCATGAACTAGGAGCCAGATTGAATGCTGAAAATGAAGGAGCAAGGGTTGTATGGGTCTGGATTAATTAAGGTGAATAAGAGAAGGATTGGCCTCCAAGATGTTACTGATAGGCTGAGGTTGGAGATCACACAATGACCACGTGGGTATATGATTCACTCTCTTTTACTCAAAGACGCAGCTGTAGGGACTAGATTAATCCAGGGCTGGGTATTCCTGCATTATTGGAGTAAAAGGACAGGCTTGCAGGGGCTGGCATTGTGGCACAGTGGTTAAGTTCACGTGCTCTGCTTCAGCAGCCTGGGGTTTGCAGGTTCGGATCCCAGGCGGGGACATATGCACCACTTATCAAGCCATGCTGTGGTAGGCATCCCACATATAAAGTAGAGGAAGATGGGCATGGAGCCCCAGGAAGATTGGCGACACATGTTGGCTCAGGGCTAATCTTCCTCACCAAAAAAAAAAAAAAAAAAAAGGACAGGATTGATTGCAGATCAACTGCAAGGTTCCAAGCTAGACAGAGGAGGAAAGGAAGTCAGCAGGATGCTAGTTTGTTGTTGGTGCCATCGAGTTGATTCTGACTCCTAGCAACCCTGTGTACAGCAGAGCGGAACCCTGCCTGGCCTTTTTGCACCATCCTCTTCTCTTCCTGCAGTATATCAGACAATGCTCTGCTGCTACTCATGGCCAAATTTTTTGGAAGCGAGTGGCCAAGTCCTTCTTCCTAGTTTGTCTTAGTCTGGAATCTTAACCTGTCCACCATGGGTGAGCTTGCTGGTATTTGAAATACTGGTGGTATAGCTTTCAGCATCACAGCAACCCGCAGCCACCACAATATGATAACCGACAGACGGGTGATGTGATTCCATGACTAGAAACGAACCTGGGCCATGGCATTGAGAGGGCTGAATCTTAACCACTAGACCACCAGGACTGGCTAGGAGGCTGGTAGGCTGGCTGAAATAGAATCAGAGGAGGATTAAAGGGTTTTTTGTGAGCCCTTAGAATCATAGAAGTAAGGTGACCAACTCATCTCAGTTTGCCCAGGACTTTCTAAGTGTTGAAACTTACAAGTTCTGTATCCCAGGAACCCTACATGCAAGTGGGGGCAAAAAAAGAGAGACACAGGGCCAGCCCCGTGGCTTAGCAGTTAAGTGCGCGCACTCCGCTACTGGCGGCCCGGGTTCGGATCCCGGGCGCGCACCGACACACCACTTCTCCGGCCATGCTGAGGCCACGTCCCACATACAGCAACTAGAAGGATGTGCAACTATGACATACAACTATCTACTGGGGCTTTAGGGAAAAAAAAGGAGGAGGATTGGCAATAGATGTTAGCTCAGAGCTGGTCTTCCTCAGCAAAAAGAGGAGAATTAGCACAGATGTTAGCTCAGGGCTGATCTTCATCACAAAAAAAAAAAAGAGAGAGAGAGAGACACATGCATAAGGTAACCTCTTCCATGTCCTCACCAGCAGTTTCACTTATAACCTCTTAAGGTTTAACCTTTCTTTCTTTATTTCTTTTTTTTTCAGAAGCTGCTGTTTTTTTTTTTAATTTTATTTGTTTATTTTTTTATTGAGGTAACATTGGTTTATAACATTATATAAATTCCAGGTGTACATCATTATATTCTGATTTCTGTGTAGACTACCTCATGTTCACCACCCAAAGACTAATTACCATCCATCACCATACACGTGTGCCCTGTCACCTCTTTTGCCCTCCTCCCTCCCTCTTTCCCCTCTGGTAACCACCAATTTAATCTCTGTATCTATGTGTTTGTTTGTTGTTGTTGTTTTTATCTTCTACTTATGAGTGAAATCATACAGTATTTGGCTTTCTCCCTCTGACTTATTTCACTTAGCATAATACCCTCAAGGTCCATCCATGTGGTCGCAAATGCCAAGATTTCATCTTTTTTATGGCTGAGTAGTATTCCATTGTGTGTATATATATATATATACACCACATCTTCTTTATCCATTCATACTTTGATGGGCACTTATGATACTGGCTCAACACAACGTTGACATAAGGGAAGCCATATTGTAAAGAAGAAACCCTATTGTAATTTTGAATGACCTCTGACTAATTAACTCAGCTGGACATGCACCTCCAGGAGACCTAACTGCTCTGTAGATTTTATGATCCCTGCTTGTGCATGTACCTTCTAGCTGTGATAAGACAATAACTTTGTTCTTTTGAGTCCCTTAGGAATGTGATATCTCCAGATGGAGAGTCTATCTGGTGTGGCCACTCTCAGTCTGTAACACCAGAGGGTCAACATTCCTAACCTCTTCACCTGTAACCCAGTGGCCTATATAACTGCTTCAAGATTCTGTGCCCCCCTTGAGATGGTTCTTTCAGACATTAGCTGGCCATCTTCCCACTTGCTAGCAAGCTGTAGTAAACTGCCCTTTCTCTGCCACCATCTTGCCTCTTGACAATTGGCTTTTGTCTCATGACAAAGTCTTAGCTATTGTGAATAATGCTGCAATGAACATAGGGGTTCATATATCTTTACGCATTTGTGTTTTCGCATTCTTTGGGTAGCTGGATCCATGGTAGTTCTATTCTTAATTTTTTGAGGACTCTCCATACTATTTTCCATAGTGGCTGCACCAGTTTACATTCCCACTAGCAGTGTATGTGAGCTCCCTTTTCTCCACATCCTCTCCAACACTTGTTATTTCTTGTCTTGTTAATTATAGCCATTCTGACTGGCATGAGGTGTTATCTCGTTATAGTTTTGACTTGCATTTCCGTAATAATTAGTGATGCTGAATATCTGTTCATGTGCCTGTTGGCTATCTGTATATCTTCTTTGGAAAAATGTCTGTTCAGCTCTTTTGCCCATTTTTTAATTGGGTTGTTTGTTTCTTTGTTGTTGTGATGTATGAGTTCTTTATATATTTTGGATATTAACCCCTTATCAGATATATGGTTTGCAAATATCTTCTCCCAATTGTTAGGTTGTCTTTTCATTTTGTTGATGGTTTCCATTGTGGTGCAGAAGCTTTTTAGTTTGATATAGTCCCATTTGTTTATTTTTCCTTCTTTTTCCCTTGCCTGGTCAGACACGGTATTTGAAAATATGCTGCTAAGACTAATGTTGAAGATTGTACTATGTTTTCTTCTAGAAGTTTTATGGTTTCGTCTTACATTCAAGTCTTTAGTCCATTTTTGAGTTCCTTTTCTGAGTTAATTCACTTCCCTCTGCTCTCTCTCAGGGCCTTGAATTCTGAAAAACTAGAGTACTTTTCTTCCGTCTGCCACTCCGAGCGTACAATTCTCTGAGGCAGTTGCATCTCCCAAATAGGGATTCTTCTGGGTATTCAGACTTCTGAGTCCCCAACCCTCCTCCTCAGAGTGGATTCAGCCCTCCTCTCACTTCAACCCACCCACTCCCACTTCATTCTTTCCCAGCTCTTCCTTCTGACCTAAAATCCGCAGCCACACCCTCCATCTCTCCAGAGCCTTTGTTTCTTTTCAGGTCAATTAGCATAAGACAATAGTACTATATACAATTCAATTACTTTCCATTCCTCTAGCCCAGAAATACTCTCAAATCCCTATTAGAATTTGCGTGCAGGAGATTTAGGTTGTTTTGTTTGTTTTGTTTTGAGTACAATAATCTAAAGAAAACATCTTTTCCTAAACAGTAGTTGGGGTGGGGTTCCTTTTTAAAAGCATTATCCCCAATTTGAACTTTTGGTTTCCTTCCCTAGTTCTTCTTTTTTAAGTTTTAATTTTTGTTGAAGCTATATGTATTAAATTGCTTAAGGTGGCAAATAAAACTATGAGGCTAATAATGGAGAAGAAGAGTCATTGCGTTCCTTTCCTCCCTCAAGTTCTCCCTCCAGAGAAGGGACCACTTTCAACTCTTTTCAGCTGCTTCTTTTGGTGTCTACCTCCATACCTCTCTAAAAAGATATAATTACATTGCTGCTTAATTTTTCAGTTCAAGTATTATGGAAAATGTGGATCTTTCTTCCTTTTACACATATATACCTGTCCCCCAAGCATGAACTTTTCTGATTCCCACCTCAACCTCCCAAAATAATTTTGGTTAGATTAACATTTAGTGTTCATTATGATTATGTAAAATGCTATTCACAACCAAATCATGTTGTATTCTAGGATTACTTTTCATTTCCTGCATAACTTTGTTTTCCCCGGAGTTAATAATTGTCTTTTTTATTTGCATAATATACACTCAACTTATCACTAATGCAGCTCCACACTTTCCACTAATTTGTAAGTGACCTATTTTATCTTCTCTTGACTCTAGTGTTCTGTGACTTGGTATGGGTCTATTTGCATTCATCATAAGGGACACTTAATGGGTTTTTTCTTTCTGGAAATTCCAGACTTCAGAAAATCTTCATTTGTTGATGGTTTCCTCCCCTCCATTTTTATTTTTTCTTTCTAGAATTTCTGTTATTCACATATTTACATCCTAAACTGGTCCTCTTATTTTCTCTGTATTTTGTTTGTTTTACTTTATCTTCCAACCCTTCCAATATTTTATTTCTACTATCATATTCATAATTTTCAAAGGCTCTTTTTTGTTTTCTGAAGGTTCGTTTTAATAGGAGGCTGTTCTTGTGTCATGGATACAATATTAATGGTAGTTTTGTTGCTTGTTTTCTTCTCCCTGCATAATCTTGGCTGCCTTTGTTTTTTGTTTATTTCTTTGTCTCTGTTTTATCTTTGTTTTTATACTAGAGGCTGTCTTCAGATGTTTGGTAATCCTTGACCATTTGCTCTTATTTCAGAGTGGGATGATAAAAAGCTAATTGGTAGCTCTGAGCCTTAGGTGGGGTTCATCTATAGTGAACTGCTTCGTCAGGTAATCTGGCTAGGCCATTTCATTGGGGAACCTCCAGTGTCAGTATCTTTAGGTCTCCCCTCTTGTGCTGGTCAGATTCTCCAGAGAAATATCTTCCAATTTTATATCTGGAATTACAGAACTGACAATCTGGGAGCTGAGTAAGGAGAAGAGTGTCAAGGTCATATTCTATAAACCCAGGTTTCTCTGATTCTAAGCCTGAGCATGTAACCACTACCCAATACATCACTTTCTCTCCTCTTCAATCCAGTTTAGTTTAACGTGTTAACCACCTACCTTGTGTCTAAATGCTAAGTCTAATTAGACCTATTGGTCTAAACACTGGGGATAAAGAAATCATTAGAACACCCTACTTGGGGCCGGCCGGCTGGTGCAGTGCCACGCTCCTCTTTGGTGGCCCTGGGTTCGTGGGTTCAGATCCCGGGCACACACCGATGCACCGTTTGTCAAGCCATGCTGTGGCGGCGTCCCATATAAAGTAGAGGAAGATGGGCATGGATGTTAGCCCAGGGCGAATCTTCCTCAGCAAAAAAGAGGAGGATTGGCATCGGATGTTAGCTCAGGGCTGATCTTCCTCACAAAAAAACAAACAAAAAAAGAACACCCTACTTATCCCACCCCAGGTTCAATTTAGTCAATAAAAGCTATTGAGCTTAAGATGTTCAAAGTTCTATGCTAGCATTGTGGAGAGGAAAAATATCAGTAAGACATAGTTCCTGTCTCAAGAAGCTCACAGATACGTGTGGGAGGTAGAAACAAATTATGAAACCAAAGTACAAAGCAGAACGTGACATAAGTGCTGCAAAAGAAAGAAGTACTTGCGGTTGTTTAGAAAGGAAGAGGCGATTTATCTTGACTGTGGGCATGTGAACGAAGTGGGGATTTGAAGAGGAGCTTTAAAACTGTACGGGATTTGACAGAGATGGGGGTGGGCCGGGCAAAATCAAAGGCCCAAAGATCAAAAGATCTGGAGTTTTAGGACTCTGCTTCTCTTCCCTGCAGGGTGATTCTGCGGGCCCCCTCCATTGCTTGCTGAATGGCCAGTATGCTGTCCATGGAGTGACCAGCTTTGTGTCCAGCCTGGGCTGTAATGTTGCCAAGAAGCCCACAGTCTTCACCCGAATCTCTGCTTACATCTCTTGGATAAATAATGTGGGTCCTCTCAAATGATAGGTTGAAACAGGGTCATGGAGACCCATGCACTGGCTGGGTTGGGGAACAAATTTGGCCAGGTGAAGCCATCATCTTCCTCACCACATTCATGTTTACTTCTAGTGCACTTTCTCTCAATGATGCTGCCATCCTGAGTTCCCCTCACATACCCACTAAGGAGGCTTCACCATAGTGTTTACTGCTTGGAGTAACATGGTGGCAACAGCAGATGTGAACCAGGTACATATCAGTGCTGTCATAAGTCAAAGCGAAGGGAAAATCAGCTTCAGAAAGGCCTGCACACTCCTGGGCAAGGGAAGAGGCACTAACATTCTTTTCCACAAGCTCTTTCTAAGGGCATTATGAGAACTTGCTCTACCCTTTGGAAAAAGATTTTACCACCTTAGAAAATGCTTGAGGGTTTAGTGAGACTCTACCTACACTGACCTAGAGATAGAGCCTCACAATCTTCCCACCTGTGCCCTCCAGCCTTCAAATACATTCTAGAGTCCTGTGGCATGAACCCTGACTCACAATCATTTCAAGGTCTGTCCTTGCCACTAAGTCCTGGGTAGGTGCCTATAACACTGAATTTTCCTGACACACCTGAGGCCTACTATCTGCTCCCCACCTTCTCAACTCCCCATAAACCCAGTACTGGGCCATACTCAAACTGGCAGCCCTGAAGAAAAAAGAAAGGAGGTGGGCAGAAGTAACTGTGGCTATACCTGTCTTTTCCTTCAGGTCATTGCCAACAACTGAACATTTTCCTGAGTCTGACGGCCTTCTCAAGATGATTCTTAAATCCACAGCAGGACTTGAGGCCATCAAGGAAAAAACGTTCTAAGAGACTATTGAGCCACATACAGAAAAGCAAATTAAACTACATTATCATCCTGTGTCTTTTTATTTGTAATTAAGCCCTTTAAAGGAAATGCAGTTATAGGACCCAAATTGGATTTCACCACATTTCTGGGCTGGTTCTTCCATTTGCTGCCACCTCTACCAATTCACAAACTAAGCCAACTGGGAGTGGTTTTACATTATCCATTTTGTATTATTTTAGGATCTACCTATCCATTAATCTGCTCATCTGCCTCTCCTTCCATGCATATTGGCTATATTCAAAAGCACAGAGTGCTTTAAAATGTTCCTGAGTGACTAAATGTGCCCCAACTCTCCCAGGTATACTGTGGGATCATCCTTCTTTTGTTTTCCCCTTCAGTACCTAGAACTGTTGCTCACCCCAAGGTTCTGGGTGATGGCAACTACTAGGATACATGAGAGATAGGAGTATAGGATTAGGTGGTAGGTCACATGCTAGCAGACAAAGAAAGTGACAAATTAGAAAGGAGACTAGGGAGGAAAGAATAGAAAAAAGGAGAAAAGAAGATACTGAACAAAGAAAGGAAAAGGTTGAGGGGAAGAGGCAGAACAAAAAGGGAGAGGAGACAACAACATGGGGCCTCAAATTAAGTGTGAGTCAGTACTTCAAGGCTGGAACTAAAATAGGCAACTGGATCCAGAGTTCTCTAAACCACAGAGAACTGGGAAGCTGCTAATTCTGCCCTATCCTGACCAGGACCCAGTCTGTTATAGTGGCCTATGACAGAGTGAAGAGGGAACTGAAAGGAGAATGCTGAGAAGACAAGAAGCAGCTTTTCACGGCAATCACTGAGGACCAGACTAGAGGGACCAGGGTATTTAACATTACACCAGGAGAAACTGGATAAGACCTGTCCTGGAATTTGTAGGCTGCTATGTCAGCAGAGGCCTCTAGAACAGTGTGTACACTAAAAGAAGCTAGGCTGGAATCAGGATGCCTCTATATGCATCTCAGTTTCACCAGTGAGGAACTGGGTAACCTTGGGCAAGTCACCAGCCCTTTCTGTGACTCAGTTTCTCTACCTAGTTAACTTCTAAAGATTCTTCCTGCTCTAATACTACATGATTTGGTGACCATCAATTTTAGTTCCCAAGAAATTGGCACTGAAGAGAGTTTTTTAGGAGGCAGTGGCTGGGCTGCATTGTTGTGGACTCCTGAGAGTGACACAGGTAATTGGCCTCCTTCTGCTAGTGACATACCAATTATCATCGCCACCTTCTCTCAGTGTTCCCACAGTACCACCGTCTCTAGGCTTCTCCCCACTTCTCCCCATAGTATCAAATTCTTCCATTTCTTCACTCTGCCCCTCTAGACCATCCTCACAGCTAACATTCAGAATAAACCCCAATGACCTACTACCTGAAAATTTTGTATCCATCACTATAAATGAATTAAGCACATAACATTGTAATCAACCTATCTCCACTTCCAGATTTTAAGCATCTCGAGGTCAGGGAATGCCTTTTTTTTTTAATTTATCTTTGGCTTCCCATCACCCAACAATGCCTGTCACACAGTTGACCCTGAGTTAACACAGTACATCTGTTTTGGGGAAATGAACTGGAAAACAATAGCAGACAAGGGTCTCCATTTTGTCCCAGGCCTCCAGCTTCCCTCTCCACTCCTTAGGAAGTATATTTTGAGCCTCTTCCCTGCCTTACTCCTACGTAAATGGTTCCCCCAAACCTAGTGTCCTAATTTCCAGCTATCCTCTCAAACAGGTCAAGGAGTAATTTCCATTTGGAGAACTATCTAGAGAAGCAACAGTTGTAATCTCAGCAGTCCCATCCCAACTTTCACCATCTGTGTCCGTCTTCATATTCTGCCTCCATCTAGTAGTACACAGTACTAGTTTATCCAGCTAGAAAAATTTGCTCCCCATCCCCAGCACAGGCTTCCATACTCGCCTCTTCAGTCTCTGCTCAGTAAGATCCTCTCTTTTCCTAAGGACCCCCATTTCTACCTCTAGCTCAGTTGTTCCTCCCTTCCAAATCCAGCTCTGGAGTCCCCTCTCTGCACTCTGTCCCTACCAGTTCTAGGCTTAGAGCCAACCTCTCTGGTAGAGGCTTTCCATCTTTAAAAACCGCACCCTGGAATAAGAAATATACGTTACTTAACAACGCAGTCATACAGGGGTTGACCAATATATACCCACATAAAGGGAAACACGTTTCCTGATACAATAAATACTCTTGCTGAGTGGAAATCACAATACTTTATACCCCATTGTTTCAGTTATTTTCCAGTTCTGATCCTTATAGCTAATGGGCTTTTGGGAACCAACGAGTCTTGGCCCGTATTTGAAACCTCTTTTCAGTGTGGCTGTTGTTGCTACACCTCAAGGCCGGAGAGCTTTGAAGTGGGTCTCGAGCGAGCGCCTCCGGAGGGCAGGCCCAGGTTGCCGGCCCTCAGACCACCTCCTCTGAGCAGGCCTGCCGCTAGCCAGAGCTCCACAGTCCCGCTGGCCCATGCTCTGGGCCACCCCGCGAGCTGGACTGTGACCGGCCATGGTGAGGCCTCAGGGGACACCGCTGGCTGGGCTCCGAGTGGCCTCGCAGAGGGTCTGCAGGTGGCTGCCGTGGGGCCGCGCTCGCTGCACTGGGCTTCGGAGTGGCCTCAGGTCGGCCTCGGGGTGGTCTCGGGGAGGCCTCGGGGTGGTGTCGGGGCGGCCTCGGGGTGATCCTGAGGCGGCCCCAGGGCAGGGCGTGCCGGGCCGAGCAGGGCCAGAAGTGAGAGGCCCGCCTGCCGCCCCGCCGCCGCCGGATGCGAGGCATGCCGGGAAGCGCACTTCCTCCTCGGGGGCCTCCAGAAAACCACAGGGCGCTGGCCGCGGCAGGCCGCCCCCGGGGAGCCGGCAGGATGGCTGAGGGCAAGGCGGGCGGCGCCGCCGGCCTCTTCGCCAAGCAGGTGCAGAAGAAGTTCAGCAGGGCCCAGGAGAAGGTAGGCGGCCAGGCTTCCCGGCCGAAGGAGCTGAGGCCCGAGGCCGGACGCGGAGAGAGGGGCGCGCAGGGTATTCGGGGGCCCAGAGCCGCGGGCTGAAGAGAAGGGGCTCCGGGCACCCCCGGGAAACGGGAGCGGGGAGCGGGTTTCATTAACGCGGGCAGATTTGAGAGAAACGGAGAACATCACCCGATCTTGGGCAAGAGTAGGGGAAACTGAGGACAAGTCTCGCTCAGGAACCTTAACGCTCAGGCTGACCCAGAAAAGGGGAAAGAAAGGAACTAACGTTGGCGACTGCCGTGTAGCAGTTTTTGTCCCAGCAATCCAGCGAGAATGGTATTTCACAGATGATGAAATTGAAGGTTCCAGGAGGGTAACTTCCCCCAAGTCATAGGACAGCAATGAGCAACTGGGCTGCCAGTGCTACCGCCGGTTAGCTTGGACTGGGAGGCCGCCAGGACTAGAGTCATTCTGCTTAATTCTCTCTGTACCTAACCCTGCCAGGCCTCTGGGTGCTGTTTAAGCTGATGTAAGCAGTAGCCCATATCTGGTTCCTGTATCTCCCTTTGGCGGTGCAGAGTCCCCCGCCCAGGGTGAGTGAAGGAGCAGCTCTCTTTAGATTGTGTCTTGGTTCGCTCGAGGTGGCCCTACTCCAGCACTAGCATTTAGGTAGGCTGTCCATCTGTAACTTGCATGTAGATTGTGTATGAGATTGTGTGGACACTTCTCTACGCATTTTAATGGTATTCTTGTTTCTACCTGTCCAGAGTATTTTCTTTGCTTCTAACCTGAACCTCTGCTCTCCACCTATCAACACTGTAGTAGATGAGATGGTATGGAAAGATGAATATAACAGAAGAAAAAGCAGCTGGGGTGGGGGGACAGATAAGAAGGACCTGAGATAGAATTTTGGTTTTCTAAAGGTTCGTGGTCTTAGAAGCATTTGGATGAACACCACATGCTTAAGAATTGAAGTATTTGTATCATCATCTAAAAGCGAAGCACTGGCTTGGGTCCTGGGAAGGATTAAAGGCAACCACCTCTCCCAAGTGGGATTATCAGCAGAGAATTGATGGATTGTAGATGTAGTCCCTATCTTTAAGAGGCTCACAATGGAAAGGAGAGGGAAAAATATATATATACTTTTTCTGCCTTTGTCTGAGGAAGCTGGGGTCATGTGAAAGGGCAGAGGAAAAGGGAAAGATTTTATGTGGCTAGACTTTGTTATTTCATCTTCCCTAACTTCACCTTGATCATGGTTTCAGCCTCTCCAAAGACTGTCTAGTGACGAATCTGATAGAGATGAGAGCCTATGGGAAGGTCTAGTTAGAAGTGGTGTGGAGGAACAGGACGTACTAGAGAAGAGGAGAAGGCTAGCTGCACCATGGGTTGGAAAAACAAAAAGAAAACCCAAAAGACAAAAAACTCATGGATAATAGTTATCTTTAAAAGACACAGGCGCCAGCCCGGTGGCTAGTGGTTAAGTGCACGCGCTCCGCTACTGGCGACCTGGGTATGGATCCTGGGCGCGCACCGATGCACCGCTTGTCAGGCCATGCTGCGGCCACATCCCATATAAAGTGGAGGAAGATGGGCACGGATGTTAGCTCAGGGCAGATCTTCCTCACAAAATTAATTAATTAATTAATTAAATTTTAAAAAGACACAGCAATTGATTTTATCTCACTCTTTCTCCTTCTATCCTCTTCTAGCCTGTCATCAACACTATGCCCTTGCTTTGGGGTTTCTCTCCTTTTCTAAACAAGGACTCCGAAGCCTTAGATAAATAATGTCCCTGTTCTGGGCTTCAGATTCTGCATCTGTAAAATGACAGAGTTGATATTCAGTGATATGGAAACTCAGTGTGGTAAGGACACCAAAGTGAGAAGGGGCGAGGGCTTCTTCTTCTTCTTCTTCTTCTTTTTTTTTTGTGAGGAAGATTAGCCCTGAGCGAACATCCAATGCCAATCCTCCTCTTTTTGTTGAGGAAGATTAGCTCTGGGCTAACATCTGTGCCCATCTTCCTCCCCTTTATATGGGACGCCACCACGGCATGA